CACTCTCAACCCTTCAATTACTGTCTATTTTCTGATGACCCTAAATCTCTTAGTTCCAACCCCTCCTGTCTTCCTGAGCTTCAGATCCATATTTCCAATTCCCTGTTAGATGCTCCATTAGTCATTTGAAGCCATCTGTTTAAAATCAGTGTCTCTCTGTCCTCTCAGTCTGCCTCTCCTCCCCCATACCTATCCTGGTTAAGGGCATGAGGACATGGCAAAGGGCCAGCCATGCCTTGCTGAGACATTCAAACTGGTCTTTCAGGCAACAGAAAGCCAAGGAAGATGGAGTGATCCCACCAGATGCCCAAGGTGCCTGCAACTAAAAGCAAGGAGAATAAAGTCTTAAGGATTCAAAGTCTGTTCTTGCTTGAAATCATCTTTCACTCCTCCCTGTCCTTCTTCCCCTCATTCTTAGTCACCAAGTTCTGTTGGTTTTGCCTCCCAGATCTCTCTTGGATCCAGCCTACCACCTTAGGCAGATCCTCAGCAGCTCTTCCCTGACCCACTCAGCAGGCTTCTCTACCGACTGGCCATCCCACTCTATCCCCCTTGCCAGTTTTATATCAAGAAAGCAAATCAGACTACGTCTCTCCATTCACCCATGTTGGTGGGCCCTCCATTACCTCTAGAAGTGCGTTTAAACTATGGTCCTTCATATTTCTCAGAAACACCTCAGGAGCTGTTGAGGAGAGCAGAGAGTAAGGAGAGAACACAAAGCAGAGTTCCTCTCCCCACACCACCTCAACCAAGTAACTCTACTTTCTTTCTTCTTCTTTTCCCTTTCTTTTCTTCTTCCTTTCTGAAACAGCGTCTTGCTGTCGCCCAGGCTGGAGTGCAATAGTATGATCGTAGCTCACTGCAGCCTTGAACTCCTGGGTTCAAGAGATCCTCCTGCCTCAGCCTCCCGAGTAGCTGAGACTACAGGCATGCGTCATCAAGCCTAGCTAATTTTTTTATTTTTTGAGACTGTCTCACTCTGTTGCCTGGGCTAGAGTGCCGTGGCATCAGGCTAGCTCATAGCAACCTCAAACTCCTGGGCTCAAGCCATCCTCCTGCCTGCCTCAGCCTCCCTAGTAGCTAGGAGCACAGGTACATGCTACCAAGCCCAGCTAATTTTAGTAGAGACGGGGTCTCACTCTTGCTCAGGCTGGTTTTTTGTTTTTTGTTTTTTCTGAGACAGAGTCTCACTCTGTTGCCTGGGCTAGAGTGCCATGGTGTCAGCCTAGCTCACGCAACCTCAAACTCCCAGGCTCAAAGCAATCCTTCTGCCTCAGCCTACCGAGTAGCTGGGACTACAGGCATGTGCCACCATGTCTGGCTAATTTTTTCTATATATTTTTAGTTGGCCAATTAATTTCTTTCTATTTTTAGTAGAGACAAGGTCTTGCTCTTGCTCAGGCTGGTTTCGAACTCCTGACCTTGAACACTCCTCCTGCCTCGGACTCCCAGAGGGCTAGGACTACTGGTGTGAGCCACCATGCCCAGCCTATTTTTAGAGATAGGTCATGCTATGTTGCCCAGATTGGTCTTGAGCTCCTGGCCTCCAGTGATCATCCTGCCTTGGCCTCCCAGAGTGCCAGGATTACAGGTGTGAGCCACTGTGCCGAGCTTGTTTCTTTTTTTGTTTTTTTTAGAAAAGGTGTTTCACTCTGTCACCCAGGCTGGAGTGCAATGGTGGAGTGCGGTAAGTCATAGCTTACTGCAGCCTCAAACTCCTGGGCTCAAGCAATCCTGCCCTCTCAGCCTCCTGAGTAACTAGTACCACAGGCGTGCATCATCATGCCTGCTCTCTTCAGCTTTATTTTCACCAACAGCCCATGTATTCTACCATCAAGCCACACTGAACTCACCCCTCCCCGAACAGGCCCAGTTCTTTCACAGCTGTGGTTCCTTCTGCCTATGATGTCAGTAGGATGTAAGCTCCTCAAAGGCAGGGGCTTTGTCTTGTTGGCTGCTGTGCCCCAACTACCTAGAACCATAGCTGGTATAAAGTTAAAATACTCAATACATATTTATTAAATGAATAATTGTTCCTCCCCAGTTCTCTGCCATGCAAGCGTCTGATTATCCTTCAAGGCCAACACAAATGTCACTGCCTCTGGGATTTTACATGACTTCCTATCCCCAACCTCCAACTGCCATCATCAATTTGTTGCTCTCTTTTCTGTTTTCTATAGCACTTGGCCTAAGTTTCTGTAAAAATACTAATCACATTGTGCTGTGGCTTTTGTTTGGCACTCTGTGTCTGCCCACACACTCCTGCAGTGTGAACTCCAGGAGGATAAGGACCTTGTGGAAACAATGCCTGCTCAAGAAATAACACTGGTAAAAGTTAACACCACTCCCCATCCCACAAGTCTGTTCCAAGTCAGTCCTGATCAGCAGTTAACTCATCAGGACAGAAGGTTAAAACCAGCTTCATCTTAACAGTTAACTTTGGCTACTGAAGTCTTGAGCTTTATGCTCACACTCTCTTGGAGTTACTGATTTGTGACCTTCCTCCTGGATTTTTCTTTGTTCATTTCCTTAGCCCAGATCTTACTCCCGCCTGGACTCTGATGGGCCAACCAAGGTTGATTCACTTATTACTAACCCCTGATTTTAACTCTTATCTGTTCTTCTAGTTCTGGTTAAGACGGCACTGACCCTAACTCACCATTTAGCCTCTATAAACAACAAGTGATGGCCGAGTCAGGCATTGACAGCCCCATGAATAAAAAGCAGGGGAGGAATAAGGAGAGTCTTGAGGGATCAGGGAAGCAGGAGATTTGGGGACCCCAGAAATCAAGTAAAGCAGTCAAAAGAGGTAACTTCAGAAGAGGACAGTGCCTAGCTGGGACTTCTGCTTTTGTCAGGTTCAAACCAGCTGCCTCTACAAGTCAGACCTAAAAGCAGGACTACCTGGGTCAGAGCAATTATGTGTTTGAAGGAATGACTTCTCCATTTCCTTAGGAAAGTACCTTTCAAATAAAGAAATGGGTCAGCTGGAGCAAGCCCATTTCCCAAAATTCAACTAAGTGACCAATTTATACAATTACCAGAACTTTAAAGAAATACTTTTATACCATATAGCTATTTTTATGAGATGGGATTATTTTAGCAGTCTTAATGGTGTTGAAATTTAAGTTTTTAATTGAAGAAATGAAAGTTAAGGCTGATATGCTATTGAGGAATTGAAAAAAGGATAATAAAAATGTAAGCATTTGACAAATAAAAAATGACATTCAAAGGTACCTGAAAACTGTTCACAGTTGCAGATTGAACTCCTTGTTCTACTACTTTCCCTGCTTCTCACTTTTGCTCTTGACTAGTCTAAAAAACAAAACAAACCAACAAAAAACACTACCTGAAAGAAATAATTAGATGAAAAAATCTGCCAAATATAAGTGCATAGCCTGGCTCAGTGGCTCATGCCTGTAATCCTAGCACTTTGGGAGGCTGAGGCAGGAGGATCATTTGAGCTTAGGAGTTCAAGACCAGCCTGAGCAAGAGCGAGACCCATCTCTACAAAAATAGCAAAATTAGCTGGGTGAGGTGGTGCTCGCCCTAGTTCCAGCTACTCGGGAGGCTGAGGCAGGAAGGATGGCTTCAGTCCAGGAGTTTGAGGTTGCTGTGAGCTATGATCCCACTTCATTCTAGTCTGAGTGTCCCCATGCCTCCCCCAGGAGCCTTAAGTGGTCCTGTCCCACCTGGTTCCTTCTGCTGACGTCTAGGGTTTTTTTCCACCCCCCTCACCTATCTTTGTGTCTATAGCTGGATACAACGACCTCAAGCACCATGCCCTTCCTAATCTGACAACGGGGTTGGATGTTGTGTATTGTGGTTTTATTTCGTTGTGAAATCAAGTAAGCAAAATAAAGAAGATGCTGTTCTATACAAAACAGACAAAACAAAAACCCCGATTTTTAACCTTTGCCAATTTCAGACCCACAAATACTTCCACCATAGCTGTTTTCAAGCTACCAACCTGACAACACTAAATGCAGAGTTGGGAAGAGACGGAATAGTCCTGCGGTCCAAGTCTGTTTCCCTCACCCAAAACAACGGGGGGTAACAGCAGTGCCTCCCTCGAGGGTAATTATATGGAATAAGATGGTGGATGCACATAACTGACCTCTGTAAAAACAAAAACCTCTCAAACCTTCAAATTTCACCGGACCGAGGAAGTCTGCCATGGCTCACGGTCAGGCCAAGGATTGAGGGAGAGCCAAAGACACAACGGGAAGCTGGATGAGACCCAACCTGGGTTCAGGGCAAGTGTTTTGGGAGTGGACCTCACGAGGCTTCAGAAAACGTTTGACGTGGAAGCTAAGGGTAGGGGTTCCAGCTCGCCCCATTTCTTATGGCTTCACTGATAGCTCCTGAGCAGGGGTGAGCGGGAGTGTAGGCACATCAGTAGGAAGCGAGGCAGAGAACGCAAGTCGCTCAAGCACATCATTTGTATGTGGAGGGCAGGGTATGGAAACAGGGGCGGGACGCCAAGAAGGGACTTTTCGAATAGTGCCAAAGCCAAGCCGAACCCACCTTCCAGCGCCCCCGGGAGCAGCTGGGAGCGGCCCGGGTACGATCCTGAGGGAGTAAGAAACAACGCCTAAATCCCAGCGAGGCCGCGGCCGGAGGCGGGAATGGCGCTGCGCGCGCAGCTCTGTGCCCCGCGGGAAGTATCACGTGATCAGACAGCAGCATGAAACAAACAAGCAACAGGGGAGGACAACCTCTTGTTTTCTTTACGGAGTCATTATTTGCTGCAACAACTCTTTTTCCTTTATTTTCATTTTGTTTTGTTCAGTAGCGATTATCTTCAGTCAAATTATGCGCTCTCTGCCAAGCAGGATGCAGGCTCCTCTACCCTCATTTTTCCCTCTCGCCCCTCCGGTCGATTTTGCTTCCTTCCCCGCCCCACTTATTTCAACCAATCTTGCTAAGGTTTTTGCATTGACGTCACTAGTTTCTAGGCAGATCCTCCCCGCTTCCGGGAGCGCCCTCGCGCGTCCGCACCAGGCGGTGCTGACCAAACGGTCTGAGCGCGTGGCTGAGGCGTGCGAGCGGAGCTGGCGACGCAGCTGGGCTTCCTCAGAACTGGTGGCCTGAGCGTCGAGGAGCGGCCCTGAGAGGACTAGGGGCGTGCGAACGACGCTGTCTTGTTAAGGCTCAGTAAGGATTGCGGTCTTATTTTGTTCCTTGGGTTCATGCCGGTTTCTCCTCCCGGCTTTCTAATCCGTCGCGGTCCGGCGTGTGGTGGCCTTGGCCTCCTCACGCTTTCGTGGGCTGGAAGCCCCGAGGAACGCTCGTTGAAGTATTTTTTCCACATATTTTTAAACGTTTAAAATACGACTTTCGTTTATAAGCCTTCATGGCCACATTGTGTACACATCCTTCTCCCAGTTAGACGGAAACTCCTTCCCAGCAAGAACTGGCTTATGCCCTGTATACATGCAGGGGGCAAAGTCCCTCACACACGGTTTGTACCGGTTTTCACTAGTTCAGGCTTTCATTCGTTCGCAGTCGTTGGACACTTGTGCCGTTCTAGGGCCCTGCCCTCATGGGGCTTACAGGCCTAGTGAGTAAGTGATCGTGCGTTGGAAGGTGACAGTGCTCTGGGAGCAGAGGGCAGTAGCATGGATGGAGGGGTGCTGTGGTGGGGGCCCCGGCCACGCAGAGGTCAAAAGAGGGTGGTCAGAGTAGCCCCCGTTCCAGGCTGAGAGAAGAGAAGATGCAAAGGGCCCGGTGTGACTCATATTTGTAAAAAACCCTTGCATTTAAATGGAAGGTGGGAATCCCAACCTTGGACACGAAGTCCAGCGCACACTAGGCGGCTGAAGCGACAGCACCTCGGAGCTCCCCGCCTTCCCCTCACTGCCTGCCCCTCTGCTGCACCCCACCCTCCTGGTGGCTGGAGTGCAGGACTAGACTTTCAGATGGTTTAAACCTTTCATTCGGGATAGATAATCTACAGAATAAGCAAAAGGAATTTCAAAGAATTTCAAAATAATTTCTCCTCAGGGATGCTGCTTTCTTTCTCCTTAACAAATGAAGATAAAAATCTCGTATTTCAGAACCTGATCCTAACGCGCCCCATGAAAACAAGAATAAAAGAACAGAGTTGTGGGGATAATGGGGAAGGGGGACTTTAGCGAGTTCTATGAAACAACAAAGAACAAAGTATGTGTCAGTATGTGAGAATGAAAACAAAAAGAAAACCCCCCAGGACTGTTTTCTTATGACTATTTATGGGCATAGATATATACTAGGAAAAACCAACTAGCTTGGCTTATAGTGATCAGGGATGGGATTTTTTTTTTTTTTTTGCAAATTCTATCAGAGTAGAAGATCGCTTTTTTGATAAATTCACAACCAGGTTAAGCTTTGCAGAGAAAAGTAACATCAGTAAGCTAAAGAGAGACTAGTAAAAATAGAGCTATTGGATTAACCTCTATGGGGAATTGTTTGTGACATTGGCCTCATCAAAACACAAATAATCTAGATTTATGGACTGTACAGATGTAGTGAAGGACTAATAGCATTGTGCTGCAGTCAAAATGCCTAGGTTTGAACCTGGCTTCACCTTTTATTACTTGTGTGATCTGTGTTGAGTTAGTTCACCTCTTTTAGCCTCTGGAATGTATTTTATATTCACTAAATGTTAGAAATTATTGGCAGGGTCAGGTAGCTCATGCCTGTAATCCTTAGCACTCTGGGAGGCCTAGGCAGGAAGATTGCTTGAGCTCAGGAGTTTGAGACAAGCCTGAGCAAGAGCAAGACTCCATCTCTACTAAAAATAGAAAAACAGCCAGGCATGGTGGTGTGTACCTGTAGTCCCAGCTATTCAGGAGGCTAAGGCAGTAGGATCGCTTTAAGCCCAGGAGTTTGAGGTTGTTGTGAGCTAGGCTATCTCCACGGCACTCTACCCAGGGCAACAGAATGAGACTATGTCTCAAAAAATAAATAAATAAAAATAGAAATTATTAGAGAAGATGTGACTGAAAAAGAGTCATTGAAATGAGCTGTAGAGGAGCTGAGTGCCTAGCCCTGGAGTAGGTGTTATGAAGAGAGCACTTTACCTCAAGGACTTCAAAAGTTAATTTGGATTATATTAATACTATGTACTAATTAATGACTGATATTTTAAAAATTATACAGTTAAATGAATATTATGCATGCACTTCAAGCAGTGGGAAGGCCATTTTCCTCTGCTGTTCCCATGCCACTTCCATAATTTAGATCTGAACAATTGATAATTTCTAGATTTTATGTAAGGTATGAAAAAATCAGAACACTGACATATTTATTGATATACTTGAATAAACTGACATAATCCTCACTTTATTCCCCCTTCTTTTTTATAATAAGACTTAGCACAGAGTACTGTTATTTTTATTTGTATTTGCCTTTCCCACTAGACTTCCAAGAATTACTGTCACAGGCTAAATCTCTGTATCTTCAACAACTTACTAAGAGCCTGACATGTAGGTGCTCAGTAATTATTTGTAGAAAGAATGTATGAATTTAAGCAGTCCCAGTTGGGGCTTTTGTACGTTTTCCAACAGAGTTGTTATTACTCACATCTCTTGTTTTGAAATTTCCGTCAGAGTCTGGGTCTTTATTTAGAATATCTTCAATGATAACAGAGCTTTCTTGGAAAGAGACGTAAGTCACTTAGAGCTAAGTTTGGTGAATAAAGCAACTGAATAATATCATTTTTGCTCAAAGTATAATAGGACAATTTAGTAAAGAGACTGATTTTTCTTAAAAGGCAGTTCTAAAACATTTCTTTAAAAAGTTTTGAATAATTGTGTTATCACTGGAATAAACTTATTTGTAGCCTCCTGAAGTGGTTAATTTGAAGAGTAACATTCACTTGGGGGAATAATTTTGATATGTTATCTTATGGCTTTATAAAAAAGACAAAAAAACCTCTTTCAGACCAGCATAGAAGTAGAGGTAGACCTGTATCAACCCAATGTATGAAAATTCAAGTACAAAGTTAAGAGGCTAGCTATTCATTTATGGAATACCTGCAATATCACAGGTAGTGTGGTAGGTGTTGGAGATACTTACGAGACAAGGAAACTATAGCTTCTTGTCCTCAAGGAGTTCCTAGTATAGTGGTGATTACACCATTGAAATAATTCACGAAAGTGAATTAAATTTGAATGTACATAGGTTCAGAAATCTTGTTTGGCATAAAGTGAGCTACAGATAATATACAACAAGTGAGGGATTGTGAAGTGGGACGAGGCTAGTTAAGAAACCTTTCTTAGAAGAAATTATCTTGAATGGGGTTTTGAAAGACAAACTTGATATGGATTGGTAGAGAACAGAGAAATGGTCACTTAAACCTTAGCCAAAGTAATAATTCAAAATTTTCTTGGTAAACGTGGAGGCAGATCAGAAAGAGGTAGTTTATCTTAAGGAATATTTCATAGAGGTCATGAAGAGAGAGGCCTAGTGAATCATTTCTCCCTCACTTCAGAGAACAGGATTCTAGATTCAGGGTCCCTTTCCACTGGATAGTGCCAGATAAACACTGCCAAATTACGTCTCTCTAAACTCAATTTTTCATGTTTCCATGCTAACACTGTTATATTGACTCAGTTTAATAGAGGCAAATTAGTGAAAAGGTAAGTGCAATACAGGCTTATACAAGAATCTTGATAATCAAATATCCCTTCACTCTGTCTCATATTTTCCCTATCTTTTTGCTGTGCACATAAGCCAAACTGAAATAGATGCAAGAAGTTCTTCTATTACACTCACACTATTGATGTTTTTGCTGCATATTTTCTGGACTATTCAGGTTTAAGGAAAGGGGCTGACTTTTAGCAATATCAAAGAAAGAATTTTCTATATATGTATGTGTTTTTTGTTTTTTTTTTTTTGGTCACTTTCTCCAGCACTGCTGTCTCCTTTCTTCCTCTCCAGCCTTTGGCCCTTCTCGTAAGGATGAAAATGCTTCTGTTTGATGTTTGGGCCCTGATGGTCTTGATCCCTTGCCCAGGTGAGACTATTTGGGAAAATTTCTTTAGCCAGTGTGTGCCCGGACACAGGTATCTGGTCAAAGAGGAAGGGAATAGGAAGTCCTGAATGGGGTGACACTTCAGTAGGCATTCATTTGGACCCTGGAGAGAGATTCCTGTTTCTTGGATCACTTGGAAAACCCAAATTAATAGACTATCATAGAGGACTCTCCCTAGGAAATATGCTTTCTATGCTTGGCTTCCTTCTGCCCCAGGACTGTCCTGTGTTTCTCATCTCGAGAGCATTTTTACTTCTTTCTTGACACCCTTTGTGTCATAGTGAACTACAATAGGATCTTGACAGAACAAAGCCCATAGCTCAGATTCAAGAAGTGAGTGCTCTCCATGGCAGGGGGAACTGGAGCTTTAGTAGGTAACATTGCTAAAAGTGTTGTGTATTCCCAGAGGGGACTGGTATTTGGGAGATGGAGTGGATGGTGGGCATGGTCTAGCTAAAGGGGACCTGTGAGAAGTCTTCAGGAAACTGTGCCCCTTACCTACATCAGGTGTCTAAAATATATGTGAAGTTTCTCTCACTGTGTCGGAGAAGATTTCCCTAACAGTCTTAACTTGTAGTCATCCAGAAATGTCTGTTGCTTTAGCATAAAATCAAGATGGAATGGTTTTTCTCTGAGAAGAAGCAGTGTAAAGTTCCATGGGAAACGAATGACTCTCAGAGTCACCTGTAGGTCCCTGGTTCTCAAACCTTGATGTGCATTAAGGGTTCCCAGGAGGCTTGTTTTATTCTCTAGCATATGCCCAGGTCCTACCTTCACATGTTTTTAAACATTCACTCTGAGGTGGAGTTGGGATCTGCAATTTTGCAAGAATTCCAGGTGATCCTGGTGAAGACAATCCTTGACCATAATTTGAGTGAAACACTACTTTGAGGTATAAGTAGTAAAGTTCTTTTGCTCAGGGGTCTCCTGACCCCATGCAGGCCCTCAGCAACCAATCCTGGGGAGCTTCCAGTAATTCTGAAAGCTTATAAAGAGAATGGTTTCCTGAGCATGATTTGTAGCAACTCCATAATTTCCATGGTGGCACTAATAGAGAAACGAAGATCTCAAGAAAGAAGATAGGTAGAAGCAGGGCTTTAACTTGTTAATTAAAGGTCTTTTTCTTGTCTGTTCCACTGAACCTTTTCATTCAGGGCAGATTCCCTGTTCTCTAACATATAGTTAGATAGAATAGGCTGTGTATTTTGTTTGGGTCTTATGGTCCTCACCAGAGTCTTTGGCATATGTGGTTCATTTCAGGGGCCACAGAAGAGCTATTTGAGGTTTCTGTTTGGCCAAATCAGGCCCTGGTGGAGTATGGACAGTCCCTAGTGGTCAACTGCAGTACCACCTGTCCAGAGCCAGGACCCAGTGGAATTGAGACCTTCTTAAAGAAAACCCAAGTGGGCAAAGGGCCTCAGTGGAAAGAGTTTCTCCTGGAGGATGTCACAAAGAATTCTGTCCTGCAGTGCTTCTTCTCTTGTGCAGGGATCCAAAAGGACATAAGCCTTGGCATCACTGTGTATGGTGAGTGGGGCTGAGGGCTGGAGAGGAAGGGGGTTGTGTAGGGAAACATGAATATGTCTTAATTAGGGAAGAATAGACAAATATTTCTAATTGGGAGAGAGAATAAGGCCTGTAATAAAGATTTGTGTCATACTCCAGGGATGCTAGAGCCAATTACTTCTATTGCCCTTTGATGTAGGCTTCCTGCTGGGGTTTAATTAGGAACAGACCATAGAGGGCATCCAGACATCTGTGCTTGAGAATATGCTCAAATACAGGAAGCATATGCTAATAATGCTAACTTCTGAAGTATCAAAAGTATCAAAAAATATAAAGTTAGTGCTGAATTATTTGCTACAAGCTCTTAGAATAAATAGAGATTGGAGAAAAGAGGGTCTTTATGATCTGTGGTAGTTAGAGAGGTCTCCATGACAAAAGAGGCTCTTTAGCTGCCTTTCTGCAGAATGGTTAGGATTTTAATGGAAGGGGATGGGTGAAGAGGGTCATTAAGGTAGGCAAATTGCATCAGCAAAGATATGGCTATAAGAATACATGTGATCTCTGAGGGTAAGAACTTGGTTAGTTATAGTTTTTGTATGCTGGCACGGAGTCCCTCAGAAGCTACTCATACCTCTGAAGCACCTCTGGTAAGAGACGAAAGCTTTCCAGAATGGCAGCAAAGCAAGGGACTTTACCTCAACAGTCACATTTCTTAGCTATGGCTCTAGCTGCCTTTGATAGGTGGCAGAAAAGAGCCAGAAGGCTAACGTGTCCCATCTGGGGCAGGCATGGCAGAAAGCTGATACTATTGATCAGATGTTGATCAACAATGATCAGATGGATCAGGCTTCTTGTCCTATCCCATTCCTTTCTGGAGAGGTGGATAGCACTCATCAAGCCCTTCCTTTTTGTCTTAAAGAACCACCAAAGGAGGTGATCCTGGAGCTGCAGCCTGCATGGGTGGCCGTGGATGAAGCCTTTACAGTGACATGCCATGTGCCCAGTGTAGCACCCTTGGAGAACCTCACCCTTACCCTTCTCCAGGGTAACCAAGAACTGTATAGAAAGAACTTTGTGAGCTTGGCTGTGACCTCCCAAAGAGCTGAAGTCACCATCAGTGTCAGAGCCCAAAGGGAGAATGACGGGGGCAATTTCTCCTGCCGCGCAGAACTGGACTTGAGTTCACAAGGTGGAAGTCTCTTTCAAGGCAGCTCACTCATCAAAGTACTCCGGATTTTTGGTGAGTCAGAGCCCAGGTATGGAAGAAATCCTGCACCTCATTTTGCTCATCTTGCCTTGGCTTTTGGAGCTAAGTTCTCACAGGGTTCAGGTGTGGGGATAATTGCGCTCCACCTCTACTTGGGCTTTTTTTTTTTTTTTTTTTTTTTGAGACAGAGTCTCGCTTTGTTGTCCAGGCTAGAGTGAGTGCCATGGCGTCAGCCTAGCTCACAGCAACCTCAAACTCCTGGGCTCGAGTGATCCTTCTGCCTCAGCCTCCCGAGTAGCTGGGACTACAGGCATGTGCCACCATGCCCGGCTAATTTTTTATATATATATCAGTTGGCCAATTAATTTCTTTCTATTTATAGTAGAGACGGGGTCTCGCTCTTGCTCAGGCTGGTTTTGAACTCCTGACCTTGAGCAATCCGCCCGCCTCGGCCTCCCAAGAGCTAGGATTACAGGCGTGAGCCACAGCGTCCGGCCTCTACTTGGGCTTTAAACTTACCTTGGAGAAGAGAGATCCTTTAGCCCCTCTCCCTTCCTACATTGTGGGGTCCTGCATGACACATGATTTATCATGGCTTTTCTCCTTTCTTTCCTTGTTTTTTGGCAGAATTCTCTGACAGCCCCCAGATCTGGGTCTCTTCACTTGTGGAGGTTGGAATGGCAGAGTATGTGAGCTGTGAGGTGGCTAGGGTGTTTCCTGCCAAAGAAGTTATGTTCCACATGTTTCTGGGAGATCAGGAGCTGAGCCTCTTCCTCTCCTGGGAGGAGGACACAGCATGGGCCAATGCCACCGTTCGGGCAATGGAGACGGGTGATCAGGAGCTGTCCTGCCTTGTATCTCTGGGTCCAGTGGAGCAGAAAGCAAGAAAGCCAGTGCATGTCTACAGTAGGTGACCAGCCTCTTCCCTTCCCCATATGAGTTCTTCTCTGCTGTTGAAAATGTATGCAGTGATGGGTTGGTTATTTGACTGTAGATATCCCTACTAACCTTTGCTGAATACTTTCTCAAATTGAACATTAGTCTTCATCTTCCTCTGGTAAGTGCAGGCAGTTTGGGGACATGTATTGCGATAGTTCTTTCCAGTCTTCACCCTCAGTTTCCTTAGGCCATCCTGCTTACAGAGTGATTGTGGATGCTTGACCCTTTTCCTAGGAATATTTATTTGAGGTGAGGAAGACATCTGTAAGATGAAAAGACATATTGCCGTCCTTGCAGCAGAGGCATAGCCAAATGTGTACACGCTGCATTTGTTGTAACAGAAGCTCTCAAATCTCCAAATTACCCCCCTTTGCTCCTTTTTTTTTCTTTTATTTTTTTCCTGAGGCAAAGTCTTGCTCTGTCACCCCAGGTGGAGTGCGGTGGCATCATGGTAGCTCACTGCAACCTCCAAATCCTGGGCTCAAGTGATCTTCCTGCCTCAGTCTCCCCAGTTGCTGGGACTATAGTCATGTGCCATGACACCTGGCTAATTTTTCTATTTTTAGTAGAGATAGGGTCTCACTCTTGCTCAGGCTGGTCTCGAACTCCTGAGCTCAAGCAATCTGCCCACCTTGGCCTCCCAGAGTGCTAGTCTTTGCTCCTTCTTTTGCAGAAGCAGCAATGGTATCTCAAGTTTTTCCCATTGTCTATCTACCTATGGGTACTCTTGCCAGTAGCAAGAGTACAGAAGGGGCTGCTAATTCTGAGAAATTTGTGTGGTTTTCTTTTTCCTTTCACTCTAGGTTTCCCTCCACCAATCCTGGAGCTAGAAGAACCATACCCACTGGCAGGGACAGACATTAATGTGACCTGCTCGGGGCATGTATTAACATCACCCAGCCCTACTCTTCGGCTTCAGGGAGCCCCAAATCTCCCTGACCCTGGGAAGCCTGTTTGGCTTTTTCTTACTGCCAGAGAGGAAGATGATGGCCGAAATTTCTCCTGTGAGGCCTCTTTGGAGGTGGAGGGTCAGCAGTTGATTAAAACCACTGTGATTCAGCTCCATGTCTTATGTGAGTAGAACCCTGATCTTTCCTATCAAAACAAAGATTATTAGTTTCCCATTTCCAGAGATCTTGGCCAGTAGCTTTATTATTAGAGTTGCCACATTTTTCTCACTAAAAAAAAAATCAAAGGAGAAAATAAAATAAGAGCTCTCTAAGCTTACCTTACCCCCAGGGAAGTGAATTGGGAGAAAGATGAAGGGAAATTGAGAATAGAAAGAAAAATGGTTAAAGTGATCAGGCAGTATTAGCTGAGAAGACTGAGAAGAACATAGGAAGTGATAGTTGAAGCTCATGCTTAGGAGGGAAATTTCTAAAAATTCCATATAAAAATGTGTATTTTGAAAAATAGAAAAATCCTCCTCTCTGAGTTGACCCCTACCCTAATCCACTGAGAGAAGCAAAGATGAAAAGCAGGGCTCCAGGGCCACACCACGGGCAGAGCAGTGCTAGCATTTAGTCTGAATCCATAAACACACCCTAGGCTGCATCTCAGACTCCTTGTCCATAGGGAAGGGAGGAAAGATGTATTGGCTATAAGCAGGGAACTGAGAGTGCTTCCTTGGAAAAGAAAGCTGTTGAATGGAGGGGGCAGCACGTGGGTTAGGGGAGGGAGAGGGAGCTGAGTAGGAAGGTAAAGTGAATATGTGGTGCACTGAGCTCAGATCGTTGGGTGACTTTTTGTTTTCATAGACAAGCCACGGTTAGAGGAATCTGATTGCCCTGGCAACCAGACATGGGTAGAAGGGATGGAGCAGATGCTTGCCTGCCTCCCAAAGGGAAACCCAGCTCCAGTCTTGGTGTGTACCTGGAATGGGGTCATCTTCAACCTTCAAGTGCCACAGAAGGCAACCCAGAACCACACTGGAACCTACTGCTGCACGGCCTTTAACCAGCTGGGCTCTGTTAGCAAAGACATTGCTGTTGTCGTTCAAGGTGACTACTGCCCTGCTGCCAGGCCCGAGATGGAAATCCCTCAGGGGGTTGGGGTTCTTATCCAAGCATGGAAAGAAGAAAGATTTTTACTGGGCTGGGGAGGATGAGACTCAGAAGTGGTCTTGGTGGGCTGGGATGGGTGATTGTCTTGCCCTCAAACTTTCCCAATTCTGTTTTCTGTGCTTGAGCAGGACTGGATAAAGGAGTCAGCTCTACCATCTTCATCATTATTATCGTCATCCTTGGAGTGGGTTTAATCACTGTAGCGCTATATTTGAACTGCAAAAGAGAGAGGAGGAAATTGCCCTATGGGCAGAAAGAGAAGAACAAAGAGGAGGAAAGCCAGTTTGCTGTTCAACAAGCAGAAAAGTGCAACTCACATAATTGTTGAATAGAAACAGCTTTTGGTTGTATGAAACTTCTATTACTGGGGTTTCCCAGGGAGGGAAAAGAGGGTTAGAGGAGAAAGGAAGAAACAGAATATGAGGCTACATTAACTTTTCTGTTCTTCTGTCCCATAAAACAGTGTTCCAGGCCCCCATGTCCCTGTGTCCAATCCATCCACAAGCTCACTTTTCTCCTTTGTGTTCACACTAGTCACATTTCATTCTCAGTTTTCAACTAGTGAGAAGGTCTCTTGCTCCTTTTTAGGTGCTTAATCAGTCCACTCGTAGATTCAGAAAAGAAGATCCTGCCCTATTCTGTCAAACATCAGACTCAAGACATAATCAGACACATCTTAGAAATTGCAACTCATTTCTCATGGTTTCCTGACGACTAACTGGGAACTAATTTTTTAGTCCATGGACAAGACTTTGAAGGGGATACTCCCATCTCTGCTTTCCCCTCACCTGGGGTTCTGGAATGCATACTCCCAGAGCTGAGCTTGATATCATTAAGGGTCCATGACTGGTTAAGCTTCAACTGAGTAACCATCTGTTGTGGCCCTTGGGGGGTATAAAAATCATAAGAAATTACACACTGGGCCAGATAAGCAGCCTACCTAGCCCAGTGTTCTGTCTCTGAAGTAGAAGGTAGAATTCTTCCATGAAATTGGCATCATAGGTTAAAGGCTCCAAATATCTCTGAATTCCTTTTCATAGTCCATTGTAGAGTAATGATCTTTGAGCTCACATTTGACAGTTTCTGTTGTTCTTGTTTTTTCTTTTTAACTTATATGGGCTCCTAGGTTAGAGTTCCAGTGTTTACTCTCCCTTTCCATAAAGTGCTTATTTTAATCTGACTGCAAACAGTTTCCTTCACGTTTCAAGAGGAATCCTCTTGTGACAATATTCACCATGTGATTTTATGATTCAGCTTCCTTCTCTGTTCTTTGGAAGTAGTATTTTCACCCCTGGAGAAGGCATGAGAAATCATAAAGCCAGATTTTTCCCTCCCAAATTAGTCATGAAATGTTAACTGAAATGTTGGCTATGGTAAACAATAAAAGTGATTTTATGATATCCGAATGTATTTCTCTTCTGTGTCATTGATGAAAGCTTTTATTAAGCCAAATGGTTGCATTTTAGAACTTTGAATACAATTTCTAAGGAAAGAGTATCAAACTGGTAGCATAAACAACCAGCACAGGGCAAGTGGTACATTAGCTCAGGGCAGTGGCCTATTTGACCTACTCTCAAAACTCAAGATAGAGGTCCACAGCCTTCCAAATTGCAGATACTAGCTAGAAAGAATGCAGTATCAGACACCAAAGGAAAAACAGTCTCCCCTTCTTCCCAGACCTCCCTGAGTCTAGGGTTGTGGATTTGGTATAAAAATAACCCTTTGCCTTCACTACAAGGCAGTGAGGATACAATCATGAACAAAACATTGTCTCTGGCTTCCACAAGTTTGTAGTCTGTCAGGGAAGGTAGACAGATGAGTAGGAGATTATGTTTGTGCATTAACTCTTATGACTAGGAAAGCATAGATTGTTAAGAGAAGCCGACCTGGATCAAGGAAGCCTTCCTGGAGGGAAACTGGACATATTTTGTTTGAGTTTGCAAAATAGCATCCCCCCCAAATAATCTTCTCAACCTCAATGTCTCCACTTAGTAGCCACTGTTCTCTCATCATGTGAGTCTAATATACATTATCCACCTTCCTGAATTGAGCACTTGGGAAAATAAGTTAGGAAGCAGGTTTAGGAGAGGAGTAAGAGCAGCCCAGTACAGGGAACTGTGGCCCTTTTGGCATGAGGATCAGGTGCATCAGGCCTGTGGCTGGCCCACAGCTGCAAACTCCACCTCATGGCCTCAGTGCCCTTAGGCACCATGAAGCCAAGAGGAAGGGAAGAAGAGAGGTCATTTGGACTTCTTAGTTCCAGCAGGGAGAGCCTGATGGCTTAGCCTGCTACTGCCTTTGCTTCTCACTGCCACAGGGTGTCAGTGTTGACAGAAGCCATCAAACCAAGCAGTTCTGTAGGTCCAGGTTGTGGGGTGGAGGGTGGGGACTGGCTGCCTTGGTGCTTCGGCATCCGGGGTTACAGTTCTCAGAGCTCAGTAGTTTGGAGTAGCCATCCTGCAGAGTGCTTCAGATTTGGGCTAGGCTCTTCCCTTTGTAGGCTTGGTACCTCTGTTCCCTTTCCTTCCCCGGTGATCCACACAGCCAGCGTCAGGCAGCCACTCCTCATCACTTCCTGAAGCACAAAGGGACTCATTACATTTCTTTCCCTATATAATAGAGCTTCTAACATAGCTGCCTTCACTAGCTCCAGGAGGCCCCGCTCCATAAGAGGTTTTGATCATATTCTTTCTGAGCATGAGAGTAACCAGCTCACATTTAAACTGCAGCTGCCCTGGTTATCTCCAGGAGAAGACTGATTTAATACTCCAAAAGTTCATCCTCTGAAGGATGGTCAAGGTGACTTTCTGGCATCTTTCTCTCTAGACCTGAGAAAGCGTAAGTTAAATCTTCAATGGGGCTTCTTACTATAGGGATAATAATAGTATTTACCTTACAGGATTAGAGTTAGAAAGAAATGACATGGTAGTTGTAAAACACTATTATGGTGCTAGACACCTGTGTTCACAAGTGTTGGCTTTTATTATTACACTAATAATCCTGGTGGTAATTATACCCATAATTATAATCACAAACTCAAAGCAAGAGGCACAAATCCGTGGCAACCATTGAAGGCCATCAAAAGTCATACACACCATACACATCTTTTCCTATTTTTCTAGTATTTTTTCTCCTCCTTCCTCTACTTAACCCCCTTTTTGGCTTCCTGAGATTTAGGACTACCAGTGGGAAGACCAGTCCTACTAGCTCAGTTTGCAGTGAGCTCAGGGGTTCCCAGGACGTGGGACTTTCACTGCCCAAATTAGAAACACTTCATGCAAACCGGGACGAGTTGGGAGCCCTAATACCAGCAGCACTCAAGAGCATCCCTCAGCCACGCCAAGGCCTTCTGAATTAAAGAAGCAGAGTGTCCAGCTTGCCTTGGCCCAGAAGTCCAGATCCTGCAGTTCCACGGAGGACTTGGGGAAGGTCTCAACTGTGTATAAAGGGACACACCTCATCTTGTGCGTTTTGGAAATGCTCATGGAAGAAATTCAGAAGTGGCCATTTCTGGTTAGAGCAAATTCAAAAGGTTGTATGGAGTCAGAAAAACATTATTCCAGGGGTCAAGGATTACTTGAGTCCTGCCTATTGAACTCTTTGTGTGAGTGAGTCTTGCTAATCTTACCCGAGGGAAGACTTTTTTCATTAGAACATACTGTTAAAACATTTAATTGTGACAAAATATAAAATTCACCATCTTAACCATTGTAAGCGTACAGTTCAGTAATGTCTAGTGCATTCCTATTGCTGTGCATCCATCACCAACATCCCCAGAACGCTTTTCTTCTTGCACAAGGGAACTCTGCGCCCGTTAAACAGCTCCCCGCCCCTCCTCCCCTCAGCTGCTGGCAACCACCATTCTTTCTCTATGAACTTGACTAAGTACCTGATAGGAGTGGAATGTATAGCATTTGTCTTTTTGTGACTGGCTCATTAGCAAAAAATTTTAAATAATTGGTCAGAATTAGAAGCAGAGAGTGCCACAACTGGCCCAGGTCTCTCATCTCCTTTTCCCCTGTTTTAACCAATACAATAGCTGTGGACACTGTTATCTCATCTTTGTGGTCCCTCAGTGGTTCTCAACTTTGTTTGCACATTAGAATCACCTGGGGAGCTTTTAAAACTACTCTTGCCTGGACTCTATCCCAGGCCAATGAAATCAGAATCTCAGGGAGTGGAGGCTAATGCAGCCATTGTTTAGAAAACACCCTAGGAGTTTCTAATTTGTAGCTAAGGTTGCCATCCACTGCCCAACTGAAGAGTTGAAGGGCATAATAACAGTTGGCAAATCAAAGAGTTTAGGGTAGATGGTCTTTAAGGTCTTCTTAAATTCTAAAATTTTGCAAAATCCGCTAGCATCTTTGTAATTCTCAACTAGCAGTGGCAGAGTTGATTCTGCTATACCCAGGTGGAGCTGAGTAGACACGCTCTGGAGTGTAGCTCCCCCTGCAGTCCAGTTCTGTTAAGATAACCCCACTTAGAACCCTCTTTATACACCCTTGTGTAGATACTGAACATTGTAATTCCTACATTCTTTCAACAAATGCTCATCAAGATGGCTCACATTTCCTTTTAAAACACCTACTCAAGCCAAGAGATAAATATATCTGTACTCATCACATCAACTTCTAAAGACCACGAAATTTCTAAAAAAAGTTTAAGGCCAAATGAAGGACATTACAGGCTTAATGGAAGAAATACTCTTCTGAAATCAAAGTGGCCTAATAGAATGAGTAGTCTTGTGAAAGAGTGATTCCCTTGGTTCTAGTGATACACAGTCGTAAAGGGAATACCATCTATAATGGATCATATAGAATAAGATTCCTAAAGTCAAAGGAATTAGGATGATCTATGAGGCCCTTCTAACTTTAAAATTCCATAATTTTAATACCAGACAATAAAAGAATGATGTAAGGCAGACAAATGATTTCTGAGCTAAGAAATGGAGCTCTGGAGTTCTGATATTTCAACTTTCAACCACTTCTCAAGGACTTGTGTTACTAACTGTAAAAAAAAAAAAAAACTCTAACAATGAATGCAGGTGGTTCCTGTTATAAAGAAAATTCACAACAGCACATAAAAATTTCAACTTCAAGATGATTAATTAGGGGATTATTTGCATTTCAAAAGAATTATTGACCTCATAAAATCATTTTTGGATAATAGAGTTGCAGTGAGCATCTTAGTATTGATTTATAGGTTACTAGTCACTTAGCCAGGGTACTTGGGAGACTTAAAAATTAACTATTAAACATTAATCACTGCCCTTTCAAGTTCATTTGGAAATAGAAGACATCTGAGATGTTTTTAGGAAAACAGAATTATTCATTTATAGACAGAGTCTCGCTCTGTTGCCCAGGCTGGAGTGCAGTGGTCATAGTGATCATAGCTCACTCTAAGCTGGAACTCCTGGGCTCAAGCAATCCTCCTGCCTCAGCCTCTGGAGTAGCTAGGACTACAAGCGTGCACCTTACTCAGCTAATTTTTTAATTTTTTGTAGAGACATTGGATCTTGCTATGTTGGCCAAGCTGGCCTTGAACTCCTGGTGCCTCAGCCTCCCAAAGTGCTGGGACTACAGGCCCAGCCTTAAATGATTTGATAACAGGTGTTAGACACTCCATTAGAAAACATGAAATGCCCCAATATTCAATGCAAAAATAACTATAATTTCTTAAGTGCTATGTCAATTACTTCAGAAACATCATTTCTTTTAGTCCTCACATAGGCCTGGTAAGGCAACAGATTGTTATCTTAGCGCAGTCAAGTACTTTGTTCAGGAGCACAAATTACATACAGCCCAAATCTTCCTGATTCCTTCCCTTATACCGAGTTATCCGTGCACTGCGCTTAGAACAAATTGCTCACTGACAGCTCGAAGACCAAATGTGTTTGGGCTATCTTTTGCCCTTAAAGTGTTTTTAAATATGTATTAGTTGCCAATATTTAAAAATTAGATTTTACGTAAGTCAGGATGTCCTGGCTTTCTCGAAGAATCAGGAGGTCTAGCACCCCTGTCCCTTGCAGTCGACAACAGGCTGGACGGACCTCACGTTAGCTGGCGCCTGAGTTCTGCAAGTTGCTGTGTCCTCACCCCCCCACAGTGCATCCCTCCCGAGGAGGCCGTCAGCTGCGATTTATGCCCTCCCATCCAGGCCTTACTGCACAGTATCTGCCTGGCACCTGTTGGCACTGCATTTGCAACCCCGAATGCAGAATCTCTCTTCTACTTCCCTCGCCCCATTTCAGGTCCAAAACACTCTGGTTCTGTACATCCTGAACTTATTTTGGCACAATTCTCATTTCCCAAGGGTAGCCGCGCCTAATGCACATTCACCTTCAATTTTATGCACACAAGTACTTCTATGATTTTACTCATTGTTTTCCCACCTATTGGGGTGTTTTGCTTCTGCGCTTAATAGCCTGTCTTGTTTTCATTTCTTCCCACTCTTGGGGTGGGGGGTGGGCCTAGGTTTGGTGGTGTTGGTGCTGGTGGGAGAGGGAAAAATGCCTCCAAGTACTTTATGGGGATGACCTATGACCTTGCCTGCCCAGCAAGCTGGGACTACGGGCCTGGGGAAGTGGACTTAGCATGTAACAGAGAGGAGTAACGCGTTGGCTTTGTTCTGGCCCAGGAAGAGCCAGCTCAGCTACATTTCAGCAGCCTGGTTCCCGATAGACTCTACAGGACTGGTCCCTGCCCCCCAAATCCCCCTCCACCCCATAATAGAAAGACACATAGCCAGACAATATGATGCAACTTAATTTTATTAAGACAGGCTGGTGGGCACTGGAGTGGCTCTTTCCAGGGTAAAGGGAGGGGCTGGAGAGGGGAGACAGATGCCATAGGACTAGAAGGCACAGCTGCTTTCCACAAAGCGGCGACACTTCATGACCCGCAGGTACGTCTCAGCCTTGTGAAGATCCTTCTTGAAGCAGGAGAGCAGCCCGTAATTCTTGAGCAGTGCATCGTCGCTGCGCAAGTTTGTGTCAAACTTGTCGTAGGTTTGCTTGAGGATCTGCCCAACCCGGGGGCTGCCATCTTCCAGCTCCTGCAAAGGGAAGGAAGGGAAGGAGAGGCTGAGTGCTTAGGGGCTGTTCCCTCCCTCTCCTGTCCCCTTCCCTCCCTCCCTTCCTGAGCCTAGAGAAAGTCCTGGAATAGTCAAAGACAGAAATGAGGAGTAAGATGAGTTCTCCTGACTGCTAAAAATAGAGCAGTGTTATTTCTCTCCCAAGCCTTCTGCTGAGCAGGTGTGGCCCCAGGGTAGGACACTGCCAGTGTCACCCTCACCCGCATCAGGGCTTGGATGCCTTCCTCCAGGTCCCTCAGTTTCTCATAGACGCGGTCCGAGGTGCCAAACACCAGGCTGTTGGTGAAGACCCTGCTGAGGAACTGCACGGGCCCGAGCCACGACTGGATGAGCAGCAGCGAGAAGCGGAGCAGCTCCATGTCCTGCAGGGAGGGCTGGTGTGGGTGCCCGCGCCTCCCTCCGACCCAGCCCGGGGGAGAAGGGGGATTTGCTTCCAAAGAGGGAGGCCACTCACGGATCTCTGCTGGGCCTCGTCCTTGCCCGTGGGGGCCGGGATGGTCTCCGAGAAGCAGAAGGCAGCCTGGGCGTTCTGGATGGAATATCGCTGTCCCTCCGGGATATAGGTGCGCTCCTGGGAGGAGGTCAATGCTGGTGGCCGGCTCTCGTGGCTACTTTATCGGGACCCCCTCAGGTTATGCTCATCTGACTGCGTCTTCGCTTGCATAAAACAACCCTGAGCTCCTCACTGTCCTCCTATTACTTCTGGGGAAAAGTCGCCCCTCCCTGCCACCCCGGCCGGCACCCGTTCCGGGGGAGCTTACAAACTCCTTGTAAGTGTCGGCGGCCAGCTGGTGCAGGTGCTGGGCTCGGAGCACAGCGTTGGCGAACAGGCTGGACAAGGGCATGGCCGGGAAGGCGGCGGCCTCCTGGGGCCAGGGCAGGCAGAGCAGGGCCACAGCCAGGAGCAGGGTGGTCCGAGAGACTGGGGAGGGAGCAGAGGGCGAGGGAGGGCCAGAGCAGGAGGCTGGCTCCCTGCCTGTCCCAGGTGCTGTGCCTTTGCCTCCTCCTCCTCCCAGGCACTGAGAACGTTCTCGGCTTGGCCGAATGTGGGGGCTTAGGCAGCTGTACTCACATTCAGAAACCCCAAACCTGAGGGTTAGCACCCCTTCTGTAGGGCCCGAATCTCCCCTGGACACACCACACCCAGAGGCTTTCTAGGGCGCTTACCTGCAGCCATCACAGTGGGCGAGCTGTCCACAGGACCCTGAGCGGTTCGGTGAGCTGGGGCTGGGGATCCTGGCGTTGGTCCCTTGCGGGCCCTTTTTATACCCTGGACACCTGTGCCCCCACCTCTTTTCTGTGTACATTTATGCATAGGTGTGCTGATGGATAATTCAGAAGCTCCTTCCGCTCATCCTGGGATCATGTCCCCTGGCCTGTCATCTTTCCCTACCCATCGTCACCTGTCTAGTGAGGGTTGTGCACACAGGGCCTCAGCTAGAGAGACCACCCAGTCAAAGGGGGGTTGCCTGCATCCAGGTGGCAACGTGTCATTGTGGGGCTGTCCACCGGGTGAGGAGGGCCCCACTGGCTCCCCAAAAAGGAGGCGATGTCAGGAGAGCCAATGCTTGAGGTCTGTGCCGACCCTTCCCACTCTCTATCCTGTCCCTTTCCTCCTCTCTGCATGGTTCCCTCCACCCAACAGAGAGAATCGTGTCATGGAAAAGGCGGCCAAGGACAGCCAATCGATCTTGGGGTTTCTGGGCACCGTCCAGACCTGGTCCCCACTTTCTCTGCTTCCTGCCTGGTCCCACCACCAGAGGCAGCTGATGCAGTGCTAGCACTGACCACCAGAGGGCACCAACCCTGCACGCTGCCCTCTCCTTGCCCCAAGCCTTGGGGCTCCCCAGGGGCCAGGTCCAAGGAGCAAAGGACCCAGACTTGAGGCATTGCCTGTGCCCCTTCCACCTGCCACAGAGATGCAAAGCAAGGTGCAGAAATCCCAGGAACGGACACGGACCACAGGTGCTCCTCCCACAGCTCTGCAACCATCGGAGAATCTCAAAGGTGGAAGAGTCCTTGGGGGTTTGTGTCCACCTCCCTGCCCAGCACTGGAACTCAGAGCACAGCACCCAGAAACGTGCCCTGTGCAGTCATGGCAGCCCCTCCTCCTCGTATCTGTATAGAGCTTACCCAGTCGCAGAAGGCCTGCCTGTGCGTTCTCACATGTGACCCTCACAGCTATCTTCGGGAGGAGGTAGTATTATCCTCCCACTTTACAGATCAGGATACTGAGGCTCAGAGACTGACTTTCGTGAGCTGCCTCAGCCAAGGCGGCGGATCTCCAAGGCCTTGCTCTTCCGTGTTGCCTCCCTCAAAGTCCTTTCTCCAAAGGGGACTGTGTGGTGCGGTTCAGTTATTTTAGCTTCTAAACACCTCTCCCACCAGCACCAACACCACCAAACCTAGGCCCACCCCCCACACCAAGAGTGGGAAGAAATGAAAACAAGACAGGCTATTAAGCGCAGAAGCAAAACACCCCAATAGGTGGGAAAACAATGAGTAAAATCATAGAAGTACTTGTGTGCATAAAATTGAAGGTGGATGTGCATTAGGCACAACTACCCTTGGGAAATGAGAACTGTGCCAAAATAAGTTCAGGATGTACAGAACCAGAGTGTTTTGGACCTGAATTGGGGCGAGGGAAGTAGAAGAGAGATTCTGCATTGGGGGTTGCAAATGCAGTGCCAACAGGTGCCAGGCAGATACTGGGCAAGCCGTGAGGCCTGGATAGGAGGGCATAAATCGCAGCTGACGGCCTCCTTGGGAGGGATGCACTGTGGGGGGGTGAGGACACAGCAACTTGCAGAACTCAGGCGCCAGCTAAGGTAAGGTCCGTCCAGCCTGTTGTCGGCTGCAAGGGACAGGGCTGCCAGACCTCCTGATTCTTCGAGAAAGCCAGGACATCCTGACTTACGTAAAATCTAATTTTTAAATATTGGCCCCGGTCACAAGGGTCCCTTGGCCTCGTCTTGTCCTTCCTTACGGGGAAGAGTATTCTCCCTTCATTCCCAGGTGAAGTGGCCCAGTGGCCTGGGGTGCGTTTGGAAGCCTCACAGCAGGACAAGGCGAGGGCACAGAAAGCTGGGCTTGTAGCCTTCTGGTGCCCAGGGTTGGGGCTGTTTCAGCAGCTGGAGGTCATGGGCATCAGCGGTCCCCAGGAATGACAGCTGGAAGAACACGCTCCCCTGCATTTAAAACTCCTGCCTCTTGAGTCCAAGAACATTACCCGGTGGGAAAACAAACAAACAAACAAGCAAACCCTTCCAGAAGTGTTTGGTTATAGTGTTGGCAACCAGCACTGAAAACTCATAACCCTGTGGGCTGGGATCTGAGTGCTGGGGCCTTGCCACCACCCCCTTTTAGAGCCAGAAGACAACTCCTTTTCTTCCTTGTCACTGAAGTATTGCCCGGTCACTGCTCCTGACTTGCCACCCGCTGGCAAGTGCACTGGCCGTGTGTCCCGGCCCGCGGGACCTTCTGTTACTCGTGGAGTCAAGGGGGACCATGCCTGAAAGAGATGGGCGAGAGAAAGGAACGAGACCAAGCAAAGGGTTGTCAAGGTCTACTTTACTTGGATTCTTTGTAGGTTTTATAAGCATACAGAAACAAGGAAGTAGAAACAGAAAAATAGAGTGGGGTGACGATGAGTCTTGGGTTTGGGTTAATCAGCCCCAATCAGCGTCTTATCGGTGGGTTGCTCATCTCCAACCTGGCAGGTGGTCGGGAACAGTTAGTACACCCTGGAGAATTCCATGGTCAGCACGTCATGGAATGCATTCTTCTCGGAGCTATAGCTGGAGGGTGGAGTGCTGTTTTCGTTCCGGGAGTTTTCCAGGGCGAAGCCCGTGCGTAGGACGAGTCATAGGGGAGTTGAGGGTCTTTGGGGGTCCTTGCCTCCAACAGCCGTGGGCTGTTCTCCAGGCAGGAGAGAGGTGATGTCACAGACACAGGCTCTGAGGAAGCAGGGCTGGGGGAAGGCCAGGACACCCTTTCCCTCTCCTTCCGGTTCCACTAAAGAGGGGGAGCCAGGTGGGAATGGAGGAGGGTCCCTGCCTCCCCCGCCATCCTTCCTCCTATGTCATCTGGGACATGGAACCCCCCATGACAGAGGCTCTGGCCAGTGCTGGGGACTTGAGTGTGGACTTCGGGCCATGGGAGAAGTCTGGCCTCCCTTAGGAGCGAGGGCAGCAGGGGAGAGAGCTGGGAACTGCCCGGTAGCCACACAGGTGGGAACAAGGGAGGTGTGGCTGAGGCCAAGAACAGGTGGGACCGGCCAGGGATGGCAGTGTCTTCTCTCACCCGTCCCTTCTGTCTACCCCAGAATTAGGGTGGCCCAGAGAACTCTGGGTGAATGTGGATAGGACTTTGCTTAGTGTAAAACCAGCAAGGCAGGAATCAAGTCCCAGCAAACAGAGGATGTTCAGCGAAGCCAGGGGGGATTGAACGCAGGGAACTTCAGCCCCAGAATAAGGTGTCTACAGGCACTAAGAAAAGCAGTAGAAAAAACCCAGTGGAGCCTGGTTTAGTGAACCAAGTCACATCGTCCTGCACATCTGTATTGCACGTTTCATTGTGCATCATTTTCACTTCCTGTATCTCATTGGACCCTTGAGTTTGCCACACGACGTGGCCAGAGGGTTCATGCGTGGAGGAAGGGCCTTGGAGGGCTGCGGGGAGGACGGGGGCAGGAACTCCTGTGTATCAACGGGGTTGTTGTTGACACTGCTTGACAACCTCCGAACAACCTAGAAGTACATAACCAGCTACATAACTAGACGTGGTAGGTCATTTTCACTTTGGGCGTTAGTCCCCAGGGAGACCGTCCCATTGAAAAAGAAGTCACCAGCACTGAGGTGTGTCCAGCAGGTGTGGGAAGTCTGGGGTGCTTTCCTGATGGGTGTCCTCAGCCGGAAATAACCTCTCCCTCTTTTTACATTGTCCTGTGGTTATTTGTGGACCTCTTATTCTGCTTACTGGACTGGAAGCTCTTGGAGGCTGAATTCCTGCCTTTCATCTATTCATTCATTCCTTCCCTCATTCGCTGATTCGTGCACTAACTGACTGAACGAGCAGTGGTCGTCTGTCACATAGGCCAGACGTCGTACCAGGCAGATGGGCACACCTAGAAGAACGAAAGACACAATCCTTTTTCTTCTGGAGCGAGACAACAGCAAACAAATCAATATATAATGGTAAAATAGACAGAAATGTCAAATTGGAAGCATTGCCATGTAGGAAATAGCTATGACGCGGCTCCAGGCCTGGGGGATTTGAGCAAGTGTCCGCTGAGTGGACTGGCAGGACAACGCCAAGGAAACAACTCGAATGTCCGGCTGGCTGGAGGGCAAGGCAGACCAGGCTGCGTCTGGACGTCCCCCTGCTGGTGTAGTTATTTTAAAATAGCAAGGACAGGAACTTGAGTGTATGGCAACATGGACACGAAACCAATTAAATGCAAAGGGAGAAGGGGCAGTACGCACATGCCGACCGCAAATTCACGCGAAGGTTCTACACGGGCTAACGTTGCCGAACCTGAACCCCGGAGGTGTCTCGCCCGCCCCCTCCTGCCACACGGAGAAAGTGGTGCTAGGCCTGAGGGGAAAAGGCCTTTTTTTAAAAAAAAATAAAAAATTGAAAATTGTATTAGGATTAGTCTAAATGCGCTTTAACAGACTGCACTCTGATTGAACTCAGGACTCAATGCTGGTTGATTTTTCTTCTCTGCGGTCGCCTAAGTTTCCAAGCACAGGCTCTTGGGTTGGGGAGTGCAGGTGGATGTCCCGAGTGGAAGGTTTGTTGTTGTCTGCAACTGAGTCAAAGGCTGGACCCGAGGGTGCCCTAGCAGGAGCGGCTTGGAGAGCCGGGACGCATGCAGGAACATCACGAATGTGGGATTTGAACCCAGCTCTTAAGGTGGACCAAAGAGAGCAGACAGAATCTGGAGACCCCAGACGCTATGGTCTGAGGTGGCTTTTGAGGGCCCCGCAGAAGGCCCAGACAGGCCAGACACCTGCTGAGCGATGAACCCTACCTGCCATTGTCGCGAAAACAGCTTGGCTTTCCACGTGTTGTTTTGTTTTTCTCTTACCTCTGATTCTGCTGGAAAAACACCCAACCCTCGGGTCAGGTCACCCCAGCCCTAGCAGCACCTGCAGCGAAAGGGCCGGAAGTCAAGCTAGAGCGGAGGAGGAAGCAGCCCGAGTTAAACCAGGGTCCCCAGGGAGCTGGCTGGATTCCCCTGGTGGGTGGCAGGGCATGTGCCCACCAGGGGCGTGGGAGCTGCGCTCTGGGCAGGGGCAGGGCTTCTGGAAGGACAGCCCAGGAGGGGCTTCCTCTCCGGGCTGCTCAGGCCCCCACCTAGGCCCCGGAGAGAAGGGCTGGGGCCTTCGGAGCCTTGGAACTTGTGAACCATGGGAAAGCAAACCCTCGGAAACACAAACCTCTGAAGACAGTCAGAGCTGTCCCCCGCTTCCCTCCCCCCTCCTTTCCACTTCCTTTGGTCCAAAGTTATAGCTATACAGTCCTGGGAGGGAGGCGGCTGTGATGTGGTGGAGAATGCTGGGTTTGGGGTCACAAGGCCTGTGTGTGACTTTTAGCCATTATGGTAATTTCCCTGGGCCTTGATCTCCTTGTTTGTAGAGTGTGGCTAAGGCTACTCCTCTCAGGGTTACGATGGCGCAGAAGCAGGGTAACGCAGACGAACGTGGAGGCCCTCAGTCCCATCTTCCTGGCATTTAGGAGGCACTCAATGTGTATTCTTGGGCCCAATAAAAGTCTTTGGTTCATGTTCTGTATCCTGATTGTGGTGGTGGCGGTACACATCTCTATGTGTGCTAAAATTCTTAGATCTGTACACCAAAAGAAAGCAAACTCAATTTTATTGTGTGATTTTAAAAAAATACAATAGCCTCTGGTTTGACTCCTTTCCCTCAGATAGGTTTTAAGATTCCCATTTTACAGATAAAGCAACTGAGGCCTGAGACATTCATCATCTCACCATCATCAACCAGCTGTTTCCACTGCCTACACCAGTTCTGGGGGCTGGAGACCCACAAGAAAGACACGATGCCCCCCCAAAGTATAAGCCCCTAAAACAGAAAAACAGACCAGGGAGGGGTCCTACCTCACACCCCATGAAGGCAAAGCCCTCTGGGGGTGTCTGGCAGAGGGGGCAGGCCTCTGCTTTGATGATTCTGTCAACAACTCAGTTATTCAAAGGTATTAAATAGTCTTTCAGTAAAGCCAAGAGCTCCCCGCCACCCCCTGCCCAGGGCAGCCCCAGGTAGGGGGAGACCCTGCTTAGGGGAGAAGTGAAGCCTCCTGCCCCTGCCCCCCATCCACCCAGCTGCCCGGGTCCCTGGTGGAGGCAGGAGGACGGAATTAGTGCCACTATGCAAAGCAGCAGGAAGGGAGGGCTCCAGCTCAGTAGAGGCAGAAGCCAAAACAAGCCAGTTCCCTGTGGCAGCCCAGAGACCAGGGAGGGAACAGGGCCTGCCCGGCGTGGCCCAGGGTGCTAGAAATTGACCTGAAACCCCAGGCGTGGGTGCCTTACCCACCTGCCCCACCTGGAATTCCAGGGGCAAATCTGGTAAAAATCAGTACTTCTCTCACTAGATCCCACGTGCTGGCCTTGGTTCTCCAGTTAAACTGGAAGATCTCTGGATTCTCCTTCCTGAGTCCAGAGCAGGAAGGGCAGAGAGGCCTTGCGGGATCCCCCAAGGTCAAGGAGAAGTGGAGCACAGCCCGGCTCAGGGGGAGGCTTTGCAACGTAGGCTGGTTGCACTCGGCCTCCCAGCTGTGAGCATTCCCAGTACCTCCTCGGCTGGAGGGTCCTGGGGACCGTTTTTTAAGGACCCTGGGGCCCTAGGAGGCCTCCAGTGTGATGCTGGGAAAGTCTGAAGGGGTCACCTAAGAACCCCCAAACTTTACAAAGCCTCCTTCTTTAGGAATCGCTGCTTTTTTTTTTTTTTTTAAAACATACATTTTGATCCCAACATTATTTTTTTTTTTTTTTTAGACATAGTGTCTCACTCTGTTGTCCAGGCATGAGGGATCATAGCTCACTGCAATCTCCAACCTCTAACTACTGGGCTCAAGGGATCCTCCTGCCTCAGCCTCCCAAGTGGCTAGGACTACAGGCTTGTGCCACCATGCCTGGCTAATTTTTCTATTTTTGGTAGAGATGGGGTCTTGCTCTTGCTCAGGCTGGTCTCAAACTCCTGGCCTCAAGCGATCCTCCTGCCTCAGCCTCCAAAGTGCTAAGATTACAAGCATGAGCCACCGAACCCAGCCAGGAATCTCTGTCTTGATGGCTCTGAGTAAAGCTTAAAAAATGGCCGGGCGCGGTGGCTAACGCCTGTAATCCTAGCACTTTGGGAGGCCGAGGCGGGCGGATAGCTCAAGGTCAGGAGTTCGAAACCAGCCTGAACGAGACCCGGTCTCTACCAAAAATAGAAAGAAATTATTGACCAACTAAAATATATATACAAAAATGGCCGGGCATGTGGCACATGCCTGTAGTCCCAGCTACTCGGGAGGCTGAGGCAGGAGGATCGCTTGAGCCCAGGAGATTGAGGTTGCTGTGAGCTAGGCTGACACCACGGCACTCACTCTAGCCTGGGCAACAAAGTGAGACTCTGTCTCAAAAAAAAAAAAAAATGTCCTGGGCTTGGTGAGAGGGTGAGAGGTGGGGGTGGAGAGGGGTGTTATAGAGGCAGGTGAAACTCCTACCCACAGGGAGCTTCTAGTTTAGGTGGAGAACCAAGGCCAGCGTGCGCAGCACCAGGTAGTGGCTAAGCCGCAGCGGCACGGGCAGGGCTGGGCAGGGCTCGGGCAGGGACCAGGTGCTTTGGGACGGCTTCCTACAGGTGGAAGGCAGAGCGGGGCACAGTTGCGGTTGTTGGCTGCATGGAGCAGGGCGAGGGCATCCCTGCCGAGGGAGGGAATGGCCCAGCCACCCTCTCTCCCACTGCTCTAGGACCAGCTAAAGCCCAAGCGGGGGAAGGAACGGGGATGTGGCCCCAGGCTCCAATGGGCCTTCAGAGAGAAGGGACAGGCCCACAGGTGCCACATTCAGACAACAGAAGTGCCCAAATAGACACTCCCACCCACCCGCACCCATGACATGTCACGAGCTCATGTGTGGTTTCTCAAAACACACTGTTTATTCCACAGGAGAATGGGCTCGAGGCCAGGGGCCCGCTAGGGTGGGAGAGGTTGGGAGAGAGGAATGACGTTCTCGGTGGCCCTTCTGGGCCCAGTGAAGGGCTACGGCCCTTCAGGAAGCCGATCTGCTCTGAGTCCATCTGTAGGATCCACCCCAGTCTGTGTCTTCACGGTCCCACGCGTGGGGTGGACCCCCCTAGCACCCTTGGAAGCCAGGGCCAGTCCGTCCCCGGAGAATCCCTCCACGGCACCGCCTGGTTGCCCTTCGACTCCAGCCCTTTGGCGAGAGCTGTGGCCCGGGGGCTGGAGCAGGGAGGCCACTCTGGCGGGCCGGCTTCAGAGGCCGCCGGGGGCCAGGGGGTGGGCTGTGAGCCAGGCGGCTCCAAAGCAGTCACTGAGGCCCAGGGGGCTGAGCCTGGGCGTGGGGAGGGCCCTGCCTTCACTCCTGGCCTGGGTGCTCCCCCACAGACCACTTCACCTCCCCTGTCCGCAGAGTCACTATGTCCTCGTAGGTGGCTGTCTGGTCGATGTTCAGGCCCTGGAGACATGAAATGGAGCTCAAGCCGGGGCCATCCCTGACCACACCCACAGATGTGGCCAGGGCCCGCACGGCCTCAGAGCTGCCAGGTCCTCCCTCCCGCTTACCTCGTAGGTGTGATCCTCCTCCATCCCGGCCTTGCCTTCATCCTGGGGGAGGGAGGGAGATCAGAGTGTCAGCACCCCCAGCCCAGCTCGGGCTCAGCGGGCTGCGGAGGGCAGGGACAGGGGCCTGGGACGAGGGGAGAGGGGCGGGGGCCCTCTGTCAGAACAGAGGTGCGCTCTGTAAGAACAGCTGAACAGAGGGGTGAATGAATGAATGAGTGAGCGATCGAGTAGGCGAGCCGGTGTGCAGGCTGGGAGGTGGAGACCCTGCCCGCGTCTCCTGCTGCCCCGCGGTCACCTTGTCCAGCAGCAGGAAGATGGGCACGATGATGAAGAGGATGATGAGCAGGGTCTGGATCATGATGATGCCGTCCTTCAGCGTGTTGCGCCGCTTCAGCTGCGCCAAGGTGCTGAACCCTGGGGGGGCGGGGCCGTGAGCCGGGCGAGGGTGCCCCGGGAGTGCACCCCTTGGGCCCGCAGTGGTGGCTGTGGACCCCTCAGGACCTGCTCCCCAGTGGCCCTCCTGGGTGCTCCAGAGCCACGGCCACCTCCACAGGTGGCAGGCGGGGCTGGGCGTGGGTGTGGCTACAGGAGCACCCCGCCACCCTGCACGCACCCATGACTCGCAGCTCCGTGCCGCAGCCCAGGTAGACCTCCAAGGAGCCCCGCGTGCACTCCTGCTGGCAGAAGTAGATGCCGTTGTCCTCAAACTGGGCGCCTTGGATGGTGAGGGTGAAGACGGAGCGGTTCTGGGTCTGCAGCATGCGTCCCTCCTCCAGGCGCAGCGGCTGGGGCTCCGGGTCCGCCTCCTGCTTCCGCAGCCAGCTCACCATGCCGGAGGTGCCGTCCGTGTAGCAATGTATTTTTGCTGTGTAGCCCCGTTTCTTGGCCATGAAACGTGGGGTCTGCCAGATCCGGGAACAAGCACTTCCTGTGGGCACCAAGGCCGGCTCAGAATTCTGCTTGGCATCTTCCTGACTGCCGGCCCGGCCCGGCCCACGGGCCCCCATCTGGTGGCACTGACGCCCAGGCTCCGGGGGACAGTCAGGAGGCAGAGGTGCGGGGCAGCGGGCCATGTGAGAGGCCACGGGCCACACTGCTGGACACTGCTCTGCAGCTGCCCCTCCACCCCTCTGATTTTCCTTTGGAAGGGCTTGGGACCTTCCAGTTCCTTTCCGTGCCCATTACAGCCTGACCTGCCTCACCCCTGAGCCTAGGGGCCCCTAGGACCGCCTGCGGCCTGGCCTGGTGCTTCTGCCTCTCCCTCGCCTGGGCTGCCCTGCACCCGCCTAAAATCCTCAGGGGCTCCCCATGGCCCCCAGGGACAAAGGCCGAATCCTTGGGCTGGCAATCAAGGCCCTCTGCAGTCGACCCCTGCCTGTCTTCCCTCCATCATCCCCCTTCCCTCCTTCACGGACTGTGTTCCGGAACCTTCTTTCTCAGCTTGGAGTGCTCTCCCACCTTCTCCAAGGGGCCTCCCCCTGCCTTGTTCCCAGTGAGCGGCTTCCCTGAGGCGCTCACACGGCAGACCCCGCCCTGAAGGGCTCATTCTGAGGTTGGGCCCGACCCCCAGCCAGACAGCCCCAGGCCTGAGTCCTCAGAGGAGTCCCCTCTGGTTCCTGCTCTGGCCCCAGGCTCAGCCCGCCCCCCAGCACCCAGGATGGGAGCCCTGTCTGAGGAGGGTGACAGCTGGCTGGGGGTGGGGCCCCTGGGAGGGGGACCCTGGGCAGCCAGGGGACAGGGGTCCTGAATGTGGAGACCCAGGCAAGGATGAGACATGGGGCGGCGGCCAGCACTGGACACAGACATACTTGTCCTCAGAAGCGGGGCGAGGTCACTGACCTTTGGGATTCTGGTACAGGTCCTGTGTTTTGGCCACCGGCACAGTCTGGGCTGCAGGGCGGGAGTAAGGGGGCGGGGCTGGGTCAGGTCTCCTCTCAGGGCCGCCCCACCCCTGCGCCTTCCACACCCCCAGACCCACTTCCTCCTTCCAGGACCCTCAGCCCTCCCTGCCCAGTGCTGGGAGATGGAAGTGGGGTGGGCGGACCAGAAGCTCCGCCCCTAGCACACCCCCTCCCGTCTGCCCTTGACCCTAGGGTGGCCTTGAGCAGGTATCAAAATGAGACAGGAGGCCCAGTCACAGCGGGTGGCTCTTCCAGACAGGAAGGGACGTTTCTGGAAGGTGCATCTCCCAGGGTCTGGCTGGGCAGCCTCTCCCCTGCCTCCCAGACATGGTACCCTCAGGGGAGTGGGCGTGGGTGAGCCGCACACCGGCCCCTTCTTCCTGGACCCAGCATTTTCACAATCCTAGCTGCCAACTCTGATGTGCCCCTCACGTCCAGTGGGGTGACACCCTCCAGGCAGGAGAGGGGCTGGGGCTTCAGACTCCTGAGTCCCTACCGGGCGGAAACCCACAGACCCCGCTCCAGGGCAGGGAGACGGTGGTGAGAGGCATAAAGTGTGAGAGACACAAGAGCAGGAAGGAGCAAGAGGTGACTGTGCCAGTCCAGACAGAAGGCGACAGAGAGCAAGCCCGGCAGGGCTGTACCTGAGAGAAGCAGCAGCAGCACCACCAGCCAGTTTCTGGGCACAGGAGACAACACCAGCCCGGCCATGGTCACCACTCCGTCCCTAGCCTCAAGCCCGTGACAAGTCTGTCCGAGACTCTTGCGGGGGAAACGTGTAACTGCTCCGGCTGCAGCCTGTCCCGTCCCCGCCTCTTCCCCACCAGGCCCCTTCCTGCCATGCAAATCGGGGCCCAGGGGAGGCACCAGCTCTCTGGGGACCTGGGGGAGGGTGGGCTCTTATCAGCTGGGCCACTAAGGCTTGAAGGCTGCCCAGCTTGGGCGGCACAGCTGGGGCCCTTGGTGGATGCCCCTGGGGGGTGGCTCTCAGTCTTCTAGGGGAGTCTGTGCACCCCTCCATGTGTCCCTGCTCCACTGCTGGGCCCATCCTGGGCCTGCCAGCCACCCATCTGCAGTTTGCCAGCTCCCCGGAGGGCAGAGCCTGGCGATTCTTTATTCCTTGGCACTTAGCTAAATACGGACCAGTCCCGTGAAGGAATCTGAGCTTGGCCCCTCTGCCCCAGCCCAGCCCCCACCCTGTGGGAAGAGGAGCAGCAAGGAAGGACATGCAGGGGCCCAGGCACCTGGAGGGGCCCAGAGGAGTGCAGTGGCCATGTTGGAAATTGAGCCTGTGGAGGAAGGGAGCCACAGAGGTTCTTGAGCAAGAGCACGCTGAGTGTGGTAGCCCCTGGGGAGAAGATCTGATCCAGGCCCTGGTCAGAGGCCTCCGTTCCTCAAGCTGTGGGAGTTTGCTGGGGGTGCCAAAGGAGGGGGACTTAGGGGGACATGATTTAGAGAAAACCCCCTACCCCTTAGCAACCAGGGGGCTTCTTCAGGGAATCTTTAACGGTCGAGCTCCGAGGGCATTGAACTGTTGTCTGCAGCTCCAGCCGGTGTCAGGCAGGGGACAGCAGGCCAATGCCATGGAGCCCTCAGGTTCCCTGCCTTTATCCTGCAGGGTGGCGGATGCAACCGTAGCATTCAAGAGCTCATCTAAGCTCAGCTTTGTGCCCCTTCCCTTGGGTCCAATGCAACCCTTGCCCCTTGAAAGATGCCCTTGTGCAGGCTACAACCTGCACAACTGCACACAGCAGGCTTGCAAACATCAGCCCTGCAGCTCAGCCCACTCTGAGTTTTATGTTTCCCTGGCAGCTGCTTTTCTCTCTCTCATCCCTTCCCTCTTTCCCATCCTCTGACCTCCAGGAGAAGGAGAGAGAGAAGTCCCCAAGGTCATCTATCCACTTCTCACTCTCCCCATGACCCCCCCCCCCATTTTTCAACACTGGCAGGAATGTCTGGGTTTAGGGTGATGTAGACCCACCCACCTCTCAGCCGGAGTTGGAAGGTGGAGGGTCTGGGCGCCCTCCCCACATTCAGCCCTGGGCCTAGGCCTCCCCCGACAGCCCTGGGGTCCATTTCCAAGGGACGCGGGCCAGGACTTGAGCTATGGAAATCAGGGACAGGAAGGTTAAGGTTTCATCCGAGGAACAGCTCGTTCCGGGCAGTCCCAGATGTTCTTGCTTATTTCCAGATGTTCCAAATGAAAAAACATTTCTCCGAAAAGGTGTCAGATGTTCAGTTCATGGAACAAACAGCCCAGGAATATAAACATCACCTGAGGTCAGCTTGGGGACCGTGGGCCCTGTGCTGGTGGGCGTGGTTGAAAAAGAGACTGATCCTAGGGTGCGGGGCAAGATCCGGGGTCTCTTGGCTTAGCAAACTCTGCCCTTCCCAAGGCCCCGACAATGGAGGCCTTGGTTAGCTTTGGTGCTAGTGCCCCCCAAAGTCGAGAGGCTAATTGGGGGAGGCTTGGGTACACGCATTTGTGTGTGCTCACGTGTGTTGCCTGGGCCATGTGGCAGGTGGCCTGCTCAGGAGCTGATCCTGAGGCCCAGGTGACCGTGGGGGCGCGGAGGTTGGCGAGGGTGGTTGGCATCCTCCAAACTCACAGTCATCAACATCCCCGTGGGCAGGGATGCAGATGTGTCCTTTGGACTTCATGCCCATTCATGCCGGGCAGGGATCTGTTCTCGGGAGGGGTGGAGGCAGCGGGGGGGTGGGGGTGGGCGCCTCCTGCAAAGTTATTTGTCGCAGGTGGGGCTGTGCTGTTCCCTCGCCAGTGACAACAGCACTGAGCTCCATCCTGGGCTCGTGATGCCCTTTTCTTCCCAGAACAGGAGGCCTTGCAAGCCCACCCCCGCCTCTGCTCCGGCTGACCTGAGCTGAGCACCCTGACACCCGGCAGCACCCCCTTTCCAGGAAGGCAGCATGGAAACAAGAGATTGGGAGGGTGGGGGAAGGGACGAGGGGGTCAGGGATCGGGGACGCAAGAAGGCAGCGACCTCCCAGCCACCCCGAGAAGGATGGGAGGGGAAAGACCCTCAGGAGAAGACAAGCTCCGACCTCTGCCCCTTCCGCAGCCCAGGCTTCCTGGGTCTGCCGGGCTGCTGTGACTGGGAGGAGACCTGCTGGCTAAGAAGGGTGTGGGTTCAAATTCTGACCCTGAAGTGTACCCGCCAGAAAGTCCCCCGGGTTCCCAGCTAGGGCTGCCTCCCCCCACTGCCATGTCTGCAAATGTACCAGGGCAATTGCCCTGGTCACCCAACCAGTGAGTGCCCTGGGGTGGGGAAGGGACAGTGGCTCTTGAAGAGTTTCCCTGCCCCCCATGCCAACAGCACCCAGTCGGGCAACACCCATGCTTAACTTCTCGGCAACCAAGTTCCTCATTCGTGTGAAATAGCAATGGTCCCAATAGCCACCTTAGGCAGGTGGCACCCAGCACCAATGCCCGGAGTGGGGGGTGGCTGTGTGATCCGTGTGTCCCACACCTTTCTTCTTCCGCCATTCGTGGCTCCGGGGCAGGGTGGTCCGGCAGCTTGAAGGTCTTCCTGTCTGTGGGGCCGAGAGGTCTGGAGAGAGAGTGGGAAGGGGACCCAGGGGGGAGGCCCGCACCTGGTGGGAGCCCAGAGAACCCTGTAAAGATGCCCTGGGAGGGATGTCTTGGGGTCAGCCTGGGGGCCTTCTCCACCCCGCACGCAGGACCCCAGAAAAGGGGGTGCCGAAATCCTGAAAGGGTTAAGTGTTTACTAGTTTGGAGGACTACAGCCCTGGGAAGCAGAAGTTGTTATAGAAAATAACATCACATACAAGATTATATTTCATTCGCTGGATTTGTGGGCCAAGTTTGCTACCTGAGAATACTCTCTGTCTCAGGTGCACGTGGGCCTGGGCTCTCTGGGGTCAGGGGTCAGGGGCAGAGTCCTGGCGGCGAGTGCCTCTGAGGGAGGGAGGGGCGCTGCTGTGTGCCCCACAGGCACCCTGAGGTCTCTGAGGGGCAGAGAAGTGAAGGGGCTTCTGGAGAGGAGGGGCTGGGGACACGGGGTCCCAACACGTATTTCCTGGGGCAGGCGGAGTGTGGTGCTCCTGTTGGCGGACGAGGGGGATGACCCCCGACCCCATCTGGCCTCCTGGACTCCAGCTAAGGGGCTTTTGGAGGGGGCAGGAGAGAGCTGGACTGGGCCAGGGGGTGGCTCCAGGGCCCTCCTTCTCCTGCCCTGCTGTCCCCCAGGCGCCCACGTCTCCCCCACCTGGCTCCGATCCCCGCCAGCCCCTCCTGCTTCTCGCTGCCTGAGCCCGACCACATCCACACACGGAGGCGCCGAAGGGAACAGCGACACACCGGAGGCGCCAGGGAGGGTTTATTGTAAGAACTGTACAAAGGAGCCCGTCTGCTGGCCTGGCGTGGTGTCTGCAGGGGAGGGGGCCACAGGCAGGGGCAGGCCGGCCCCTGCTCGTCACTCTTCCTCTGCAGTCTGCACACGGACCGTGGGGAAATCCACGCTAAGAGATCGCCGAGGCGCTGGGGGCCGTGGCCGTCGGGCTCTGGGAGGGAAAGGCAGATGGCAGCGTGTGGGCAGGCGGAGGTTGGCCCCCACTGGGTGCGCCTTCTGAAGGAAGAGACAGAGTCGCCGCAGGAAGAGTGGAAGGAGGAGGCTCCTTCCATAGGGGAAACGCAGGCAGGAGATGGGGAGCACGGTGGGGGCCGTCAGTGTGAGGCCAAGAAACAGGAAGGGGGAGAGAGGTGCTCGTGGGGAGTGAGAGAGACGCCCAGGCAGGATGGGAGCAGGGGCTGGGAGAGCAGGGTGGACACCTAGGAAGACTGTGGCCCACAGGCATGCACGTGTGTGCACACAGACATGCACACACACACAGGCGCACACACACATCTTGTTTTGAAGGTTCTGCTGCTTCCTGAATTTTAATCAAATTGCTCACGAGAAACAAGAAAAAGAAGAGGAACTTAGGCCCACAGGGGACTCCAAGTGCACACCTTACCACGTGTTCACACTCACCCACACGCTCACAGCACAGGTCCACTCTCCAACATCACACACACACACACACACACACACACAGCTGCACTCTCATGGACTTGCAGACACTCCAGGGCACACTGACACACAGACACACAAAGATACCTAGACACACATGCATATGCAGGCACCAGTACGCAGTGGCTCGCACACACAGTCACACACTGGGACACACACACAGCTATACACACAGGCCTACAAGCGTATAAGCAGACACACAAGTGAATAAACCCGGTGACCCCTGAGCAGGTTTCTTCCCCCTCCTCCAAGCTCGGCCTCTGTTCTTCGGGAGCCAGCAGAGGCCTGGCCCTGCCGTGCGCAGGTCAGCGGTGAAATGCTTTCCAGGCAGCAGGAAGTTGGAAGGCTGAGCCTGAGCCAGGTGAGCGTTCCCTGCTGCATGCTCCAGTGTTCAAATCTCTAATGTGAACTCAACTATGACAATCTCGGTCACTTTGAGGAGAGGTGCGGGGAGGATGAGGAGAGAGGAAAAGACGGGTATGGGGAGAGCTGAGGAGGGAGAGATCTCTGAGGCTTCATGAGGCCACAGGGAGCCCTGGTGGTGCTCGTGGGGAGTGAGGGAGGGAGAGAGGGAAGAGACAAGAATCTCTTCCTGAGCACCCGGGTCCCCGGCCCCACCCCAGGTTCCAGTGCTCAGGCCAAGCTCAGTGATCCAGCTGGCAGGACCCAGCCTGTACCGCCCATCCACGCTTTCTAGAAAAGGACACTCCCAAGTGGAATCCTTCCTTCTGCTCCCCCCTAGGGGCCAGCCAGGGGAGCCGTGGGCCTGGACGGGGCCCAGGAGCAGGTTTCTGGAGTCACAGTCCCAGCCTGAGGACCAGGGCCCAGTGGCCAGGCAGGCTTGTGGAGCGATTTCTGGACCAGTCACATTTCACTTTTCTGGGGGATTCCTGAGCTGGCAGGGGAAGCTGCAGCCCAGAGCCGGGCAGTAGTGCCCCGGGGTCAGGTGTCCCCGAGGTTAAGACATCTTTGTCTGGGCTGGGGCTGAGGGGCCGGAGTCACTTCCTGGGGAGAGGCCAGTAGCCCTAAGACTCCGGTGACAGGAGGGCAGCCAACTCCCCCCTCGCAGGCCCGCTCCTCCCCAAGTGGGGGCAGAGATCCTGATGTTCTCACCTCCCTCAGGCCAAAGGCAGGGCGGCAGGGCCCGTGAGCAGGTGAGAGCAACTTGAGGTGAAACACGGAGGCAGAGGCCTCAGGCCCAGCACGGAGCCCCTGGGCGCGTCCCCATGTCCCCTGGCCCCAGTGTGGCCAAATCCTGTCCCCCACAAGGGAGCAGGACGCAGTCTCAGACTCAAGGCCATGCTCCCTCATGCAACGGCAGGCACCCCAGGGGGCTTCGGGGCTGTGCCAAGGCTCAGCTGGCCATCTTGACACCGCCTGCTAGACGAGGGACTCCTTGACCCCTGGGCGCACCGTCTGCCCCGGTGGTGGGGAGGGAGGCAGGGTGGCGTCTGAGGGGCTGACCGGCGTGAGCCCCAAGGCAGGTACAGAGTCCCCCGCCGAGCCCTTCTCCCCATCGCTGTGCACGCCACTGTTCCCGTTCTCCCGGCCGTACATCTTGCCCATGGCGTCCGCGATCAGCCCCTCCTTCTCAGGGGCCCCGTCACCGTTGCCGTCCTGGCCGTGGCGGTACATGTAGGACGCCTGCTTCACGGAGCGCTGCAGCAGGTGGCGGCGGTAGGCCCTCTGGATCTTGATGGCGCACACCTCCTCCTGCTTCCTCTTCAGCGTGGTGGTGATGGGCTCGTAGGAGACCTTGGAGGGGTTGGCCGCCATGAACTTCTCCTCCATGGTCTGCTTGAGGGTGTCCATTTCCCCAGAGTCACCCAGGACCTCCTTGGTCAGAGCGAAGAGGATGTCCAGGCAGTGGATCTTGTCCCCCGGCACCATGGGCAGGTCCAGCGTGATGAGCTTGATCTTGTTGGGCTTGGCGATCCTCAGCGGCTCCTGCAGGGTGTCCACGAAGTCAGAGAGGACGCTGTAGGCGATGAACTGGGTGGCGTCGGGGTCGAACTTCTCCCACGTCTCATAGAACATCTCGAAGTCGTCCTCGCTCAGGGGCTCACTGCTCTCCTCAGTGGCCACGTTGAAGTTCTCCAGGATGATGGCGATGTACATGTTGACCACGATGAGGAAGGAGATGATGATGTAGCTGCAGAAGAAGCAGATGCCGATGGAGGGGTTGCCGCAGTCGCCCTTGATGCTGGTGCCCGGGTTCTCCAGGGTGGGGTCGCAGTCGGGGGGCCCGCTGTTGAGGATGGGGTTGAGGAGCCCGTCCCAGCCGGCGGACGTGGTGATCTCGAAGAGGCAGATGATGCTGTTGCCGAAGGTCTCAAAGTTGAACATGTCATCGATGCCCGACTCCTTCTTGACGTAGGCAAAGTTGGACATGCCGAAGATGGAGTAGATGAACATGACCAGGAAGAGGAGGAGGCCGATGTTGAAGAGGGCGGGCAGCGACATCATGAGGGCGAACAGCAGCGTCCGGATGCCCTTGGCCCCGCGGATCAGCCGCAGGACGCGCCCAATCCGCGCCAGGCGGATCACGCGGAACAGCGTGGGCGACACGAAGTATTTCTGGATCAGGTCGGAGAGCGCGAGGCCTGCGGGGAGGAGCTAGTGAGGACGGCGCCCTGGGGTGGGGGCTGCCCAGGGTGTGGGGGCGCCCGGGGCTTGGGGCCCAGCCTGCTGTGCTCCGTCCCAGGACGGGGTGGCAGAAGCTCAGCCCTCAGGGCACAGCCCAGTGACCAGATGGGCTGGGCTGGGCTCTCCCAGGGGCCAGGGCCACATCCATGCCCTGAACAGCTGGGGTCAGGATCTGCCTAGTCAAGGGCATGAGGGTAAGCGCCATTCCTAAGGCTGTGTATAGATTCGTGTGTGTATGTTAGACACAGACAGAGAGAAAGACAGAGCCACCACGTAACTCTGGGCATGTCACTTAACTTGTTAGTGACTCAGTTTCCTCATCTGCAAAATGGGGGTGATAACAGCACCTGCCTCGTGGCATTGCTATGAACGAGTGAGACAACGCCTGTGACGTGCACAGCACAGTGTCAGGCACAGAGCAGATGCAGAGTAAATGGGAGCTAGCCGCTAACACGGTCACACACATGACCATGCCCTCCTCCCGTGTGTGCAGGCACCAGAACCATCTCACGTTTTTCATTCAGTACATGGGTACCTGAGTGTGCATCTGCTGGTCAGGTGTGTTTCTGGAGGTGCACTCGTGTGTGTGTGTGTGTGTGTGTGTGTGTGCGCGCGCGCAGGGGACAAGCTGCCAGTGAGCACGCCCTGTGTGCCTTTGTGCATTAACAGTGAATGGCAGGCACACGCATGCACACGCGTGTTTGTGTGAGTGTGTGGGGGTGCAGGTGTGTGTGCACAGACAGGCCTTCCTGAGTCACTCATCTTGGTGCTGCCCCAGGGGCCAAGCCCAGCCCCGCTCACCCACAATGGACAAGATGACAACCACGAAGTCGAAGATGTTCCAGCCGACGGTGAAGTAGTACTGCCGCAGGGCGAACATCTTGAGCACACACTCGCCCGTGAAGATGATGATGAAGACCATGTTGATGTTGTACAGGATGTCCACCTTGAGCTGGCTCTGGTCGTCTGTCTCCACCATCATGGTGACCATGTTGAGGCAGATGAGGATCATGATGGTGATGTCGAACACCTGCTTCATCACGAAGTCGTACACCACGCCCTGGATCTTGTTCTGCAGCGCGGGTGGGAGTGCCGCACGCACACGTGTGGACACAGTGGGGTAGGGGTGGGCAGGCGGGACACAGGATGGCACGACAGCGTGATGGAGAGGAGAGAGAGAGAGTGGGGAGGTGGTGGGGCTTGTGCTGGAGTCGGCCAGGGGAGGAAGGGTGACCTGTCAGACCACTGGTGGGGCTGGGACTGGTGGCTCCATGGGTATCCTCCTCACTCCAGGACCCTTCCTTGTTTCCAGGTCTCCCAGCCCCCCTCTCCCAAAGTCTTTGCTCACTGGGGAGGGTGTCTGGACATCCGCTTCCTCACCCCCATGGGGCCCTTGCCCCAGAGGCCATATGGTGCCTCTCTGCTGCCACAGAGAGCTGTCCCTCCCTGCAGGGGGACCCAGCCTCGCCCAGGGACACGGCCTGGTGGGCAGAAGCAGGCTGCGTTTTACCCCCACCCCGTCCTCCCAGGCAGGAGCTTGGTCCAGGCTGCAGGACGAGTGCCCAGATGGGGGTACCTGGGGCCGGGGAATCGGCTTCTGCGGCTTCTTGGAGCCAAGCTTCTTCATGGCATTATAGTATTTCTTCTGCTCCTCTGTCATGAAGATGTCTTTCCCTCCAAAGTATAGTGGGATAGGGCCCGTAAGGTTGGGGTGTGGGTCTCCCTTCTCTGCCACCAGGATGCCCTACCTCAGGCACCGCCCTTAACACAGACCCCACCCCCGCACGGGGGCCTGGTGGAAATGGGGATGGGGACCTCGAGGGACCAGAGATGGAGGAATGAAGGGGACGGAGAGGGATTGAGGGTCAGAGAGGGAGGGAACCAACGCTGTCTTGCGGGTCCTTGGGAAAAATCATGAGGGAGGCTGCATCAACCTCATTTTATAGATAAGGAAACCGAGGTTCGGGGAGGCCAGGTCACTTGTTCGAAGCCCCCTGGCAGGATGGGGACCCGTGCTGGCTGCGCCAACCACACGGCCAGCGACAGCACGGCAGGTGCTCCGTGTGGCAGTGAGTGGGCAGGGGAGGGGAGGGGACCGGCCGGGGAGGCCCGGGGAGGGCGGAGCTGGGTACTCATCTTCTTCTTCTGCTGGTTGAAGTTGTCAATGATGACGCCGATGAAGAGGTTGAGGGTGAAGAAGGATCCGAAGATGATGAAGATGACGAAGTAGAGGTACATGTAGATGTTCACCTCATACTGTGGCTGTTCCTCCTGCTGCAGGGCCACAGGACAGGCGGGGCTGGGCACACACCGGCTTCTCTCCACTCCCCCGAGCACTAGGGGTGGGACCCGGCCACCCCGGGCTGCCCGGTCTCCGGACCCCCGAGGAGGCTACGTGGCCGGGAGGGCAGAATGTGCCTCGGTGTCTCTCTCTGGGCTGAGTCCTGGCTCGCTCACCAGCCACACCTCAGCGACCCCGACTCACCTCCCGGGAGTCCACGGCTGCATACATGATGTCCATCCAGCCCTTGAACGTGGCCTGAGAGAGTGTGGTTGGGGTGTGAGGGGAGGGGCTGCTCCCTGCTTCCAGCATCCATGAGTTTCCTTCCCCTGCCCAGCCTGGTCCTCCCTGGAGGTCTCCCCTAGAGATCAGAGAGGCCTGGACACTGCCTCAGGGTCCCACAGCATTGGAGCAGGGTGGGTGTTCCCCTGACAAGGAGTGACAGGGGGCTCAGGTACCACGAGAGGGACTGTGGGCACCTCCGTCCCGGCTCCCGGCAGGGGCTGCGGGTCACACTCACCACCTGCAGGAGGGAGAGGTAGCCCAGACCCACGTTGTCATAGTTGACCTTGACGTTGAGCCAGCGGACCTGGCCCGTGTGCATGAGGCTCTCGCACTCAGACTTGTTGTTGACCTCAGAGATGTCGAACCTCTCGGAGGTGGTGGTGTTCATGCAGTAGTAGAACTTGCCGGCGAACAAGTTCACGCCCATGATGCTGAAGATGAGCCAGAAGATGAGGCAGACGAGCAGCACGTTCATGATGGAGGGGATGGCGCCCAGGAGGGCGTTCACCACCACCTGGGGGCGGGGGGTCATTGCCAGAGCCTCTCCCCACCTCGGAGAGGGGGCTCCCCACCCGCACCCTGCCTGGGGGGCCGGGCAGAGCCGGCACTGTCATGCAGGGAGGGCTTCCTGGAGGAGGGCCAATCTGAGCCAGCCCAGAGGCCAGAAGCCCTATGCCAGGCTTCGCGTGGAGGGAGGGGAGCTGCGGGCCCGGCGGTCTGGAGGGCTCTCTGCTTGGCTGGAGCCATCAGCCCAGAGTGGGGGCGCTGGGTTTCTCTGGAAGCAGCCCGGTCATGGGTCACCAGGCAGGAGACAAACACTCTTTCCTCGGCCCCCATAGGAAATTCATCCCACGTGACCCGTCCCCGCTCATGAGCTCACAGCACCAGAGACACAGAGACAGATGAGGCACACAAAAGAGGCCACCAGGGTCTTCAAAGCAGCAGGACCCCCGGACCAGAGCCCTGTACCCCCCAGCCCCGGGCACACAGGCCCGCCTCACTCTGCAGTCTGGGTTGAACCTGAGCCAGTCCCTGACCTCTAGACAGTGGGTGGCACAGCCTGGTGGTGCCCAGGGGAGCTCTATTCCTGGTTGGGGCACCAGCCAGCTGTGTGGCCACGGGCAGGGAAGGGGTCCCTGGCTCTGGGGGTCAGAGGGCCCAGCACCTGGCTAACCCTGGCATGAACAAAAGGTGCCACTGAGAAGAGCTTGCTGCCAACCTGCCCATTCCCAGGGGTTTGTCCCTCGGGAGTGGGTCTTGTTCCAGCCAACCTCCCTTTCGGGGAAGTCCCCTTTGTCTTGCCCAGGCGCTTTGTTTACCAGTCACTGCTGCTCTCAAGGGCCTGAAGGGACCTTCTTCAAACTGACAAGTGCATGACCCTGACTATGACCCTAAGCTGAGGTAGGGGGCAGGTGGGCTCAGAGCTGGGGTGCAAGCACCCTCCCACTTGCTTATTTTCAGAGCTCTGGGGGGCCCCAGCCTGAGGTTGGGGAGGGACACCTATAAAGCCACCCTTAAACCACCCCAAACCACCACACACTCAGGCCTTCCTTCCTCCTCTCCCCAGCGTGGGGCCCTCTTAGGAGCTGACGCAGCCTCTGCTGCCCCCTGCGGTGCAGAGAGGAGCGGAGGGCAGGGGCGGGAGTGTGGCAGGCAGGGGTGGGAGGTGGCTGGAGTGCAGACACCCACCCGGCCACCTTGCCCTGTGGCTGCTGCCCCAGCCCGAGCCCGCCCCAGAGGCCCCCTCGGCACCCACCCTCATGCCCTCGAATCGGGACAGCGCCCTCAGGGGCCGCAGGGCCCGAAGTGTCCGCAGGGACTTGATGGGTCCCAGCTCCGAGTAGCCCAGCCAGTTGGCCACCAGGCTGATGATGGAGACCTGCAAAGGAGGGTGGGGTGGTCAGTGGGCGCAGGGCACAGGGGTCCTCCTGCTCTCAGGCTCCTGGTGGTCTCCCTCAGACCCCCACTCGTAGGGGGTCCTGTTTGGCGTCTGGTGGGAAGAGCAGCCCTGGGGCTGGCCCCGCACCCACAGGAGCCTGGGCTCCTCCTCAGCAAGCCATCAGTGAGCTGGGGATGGCGGGGAACGACAGGGACGTGCCCACCTCCCTCGGAGGTGCAGGCGGTGAGCCCCCCTAGGAGGATGTGAGCAGCCCCCACCCCTGCTGGCCGGCAGCCTAAGGAGCCCTCCCACACATCGTCTTGGTCCCAAGGCCCCCCTCTCCTGTAGGAGAAAAGAAGGTCTCTCCAGCCCCTGTCCCCTGCCTGGGCAGCTGCGCGGCTGAGAAGCTGGGCTGGCGCCTGGCTCTTGCTGTGGCCTCGGGCAGGCCCTGCACTCAGGCCTGGGCTTCCCGAGGTCCTCAGCCACACACAGTGACAAGTGTGGGGCCGGGGCTGGGGCGGACTCACGTCCACGATGAGGAAGTCGAGCCAGCACCAGGCGTTGGTGAAGTACACCTTGAAGCCGTAGGCCACCCACTTGAGCAGCATCTCCAGGATGAAGATGTAGGTGAAGACCTTGTCGGCGTACTCTAGGATGGTGCGGATGACTCGCCGCTGCTCGATGTAGATGTCCTCGAAGGCCTGGGGGCGCCAGCACCACCGGGTGGCCAGGGTCCGGCAGGCCGGGACAGCAGCCACGTCCCCTTCCCTGCCCGACGCTCCTGGTTCCCAGGGGTCTGCCACGGGGGCCCAGCCCAGGGGCAGGCTGCGGCACCTCCCAGACCCCCCTGCCCATCGCGGGGCGAGTGTTCCCTGGCAGGGAGAAGCCCCCCAGCTCCCCTTCCCAGGCCTCCTAGCAGCAAATCTCGGTCCTCTACCTGGGGGGTCACAGCGACGCAGTTTGAGTCCTGCCCCCCCTTAACCCCAATCCCCAGGGCCCTCCTGCCCCTATCAGCCAGGGGTGCACACCAGCCAGTGGCCACACAGCAAGGGAGGCCCCTCTGTCCTGGCAAGAAACGTGTCCTGGAAGTGCAGGTGAGGTCCTTTAGGACTCTCAGGGTCCGGGACTGTCCCCGCCAGGTCCCTCCCTGTGTGGAGAGGGGGGGCCCCGGGAGGGCCTGCCTTGGGCCTGGCACCTGCCCCTGTCCCGTCCCCCAGGGGGTGCCTACCAGGGCCCCACTGCTGAGCAGGATCATGAAGACAATGAAGGTCTCGAACCAGTTGTGCTCGACGATCTTGAAGCAGGCCCTGCGCAGGGTCCACCACTTCTTGCCGCGGCCCTGGGAGATGTCCACGTAGAGGCAGGGGTAGCGCTGCACACAGGCTGCGGGAGGGCGGGCGGCACCACGTCACGGGCCTGGGGCTGCCTCGGGGTACAGGGTCAGCCTGTTCCCTCGGCCCCCGGGGTGCCCCTCTACAGCCCCCACCTTGCTGCCCCCAGACCCATGGCTCCCACCTCCTCCCTCCACAGGCCGCTCCCACAACGTGTCAACAGACGGGCATGTAGAGGAAAGGCCTCCCCAAAACAGGGGCTCCGGCCACCAGCCCAGGCACTGCCGCTCTCAGCTGTGCCCACCCCACCCCGCCCAGGCCGCTCCCCTCGGCACAGCCCAGGCCCTTTGGACCACAGCGCTGTTTCTCCAGGCTGTCAGCTGAAGGGCTGGGCAGGCCTCCCTCCCTGAAGAGGAGGAGGAGGGAGGGGGAGGGAGGGGAAGGAGAGGAGGAGGACTGAGGGGAAGGGGAGGAGGAGAGGAGGGCCAAGGGGAGGGAGGGAGGAGCGCGAAGAGAGGCAGCGAGGAGAGTGTCCCAAGAGATAGCACTTGCACTCCTTTTTTTTTTTTTACTGTTTTTTTCTTTTTTCTTCTTTTTTATTATTATCTTTCTCTTTAACCCTTGACTACTGACTGAATAGCCCACCTCACTCCTGAGCGTTTGCTGGGAGCCAGGCCTGCACTAAGGGCGCCGCCGTGGCCCTGCCAAGACTCTCTCAGGCGTCAGCGGGACGGGAGGGGCACGGTCGAGGGAAGAAGCCTCGGCACTGTCCCCTGTGGCTGGCCCTGGCTGGGGTGCTGGCGCAGGCGCCCTCGACTTCCAGTGAAGCACTCCTCGGGCTCCTCCCCCTCGGGGTTCTCCTCGGCCTGCTCCTCAGGGTCCTCCTCGGGGGGCTTGTAGTCGGCCGTGCTGCAGACGGAGGAGTTGCCATCGTAGAGGGGCTGCAGCGGCTTCTGCAGGGACCAGAGGGTCAGGTGACCAGGTGGGGCAGGATGGGAGACCAGAAGGGAAAGGAGGAAGAGGGCGTGTAGCAAATGCATTCATTCATTCATTCATTCATTCATTCACTCAGCCCAGGATTATCGGGCCGGCACCGTGTCCTGTGCAGAAGCCCAGGGACCAAGGCAGCCTGCGTCCTGCCCTCATGGCACTTACATTTGGAGTGGGCAGGGCTGAGGCCTGGGAAGGGGCACGCGTGGGCCTGGGGTGGGGCAGGAGGCTGGGAGGGAGCGGGAAGGGCGCCAGCAGAGGCATCAGAGGGGAGCTTTTGAGGGGGCAGGGGTACGGAGGGGCTGGGATGGAACTGGGGCTGCCACAGCCCACAGAGGACGGCAGGTGGTGCCCCCAGGGTCTGAGCCTTCCCACTCCCAGGGGCCGTTTGGCAGAGGAATCCAGAAAGGGTGGAAAATTTTCCCCAGCCAAAGCCCGGGTCCGGTGCCAAGGGAACCTGATCGGAGTGGGGGTGGGTGGGGGAGGCCAGTGCTCCGGCCCGGCCAGGCTTTTTCCCCCCTCCTGGGGCAGTTCCAGGCCGGCCTCCTGGCCCCAGCATCTATTCCACAAGGGGACCCCTGCAAGGTGGCGGTTGGGGGGCGGGTGGCCCTGAAGAGAAAGATGGAGAGGGCAGCTTGCAGGAGGAGCTTTCCAGAGTGGTGACCAGAAAACCAGGGTGTCTTTGTACTCAGTTGATAGACAGGGAAACTGAGGCACAGAGCATTAGGTCAGCCAAGGCTTCCACTGAGCTGCTTGTACCAAATGTGCACCCCAACTCCCTCAACCCCCCCAAGTGCCACGCTTGCCCCCCTGGAAAGAGGGCTCAGGCCCCTGCCCAGGCACCACCTTGCACTCGGGTGCTCTCAGCCCTCCCCCACCCGTGTCTCATACCGAGGTCGAGGTCGGTGCCACATTTCCTGGGTATTTATAGCTCGGCAGGCACCGGGCCCCCTGGTCAATCAGTGTGCCACATATTGGGGGGGGAATAAGGAGTCAAGAGCTTTCAGGGCAAAGTTCATCAGGCTCCGGCGCCCAGCCAGGCCCAGAGCTGGGCGGTGGTGGTCGGGCCTCAGAGTCAGCGTCCCTGGAGGCCCAGGCAGGGCCCCAGCCTCAGCCCCAGCTGCTGGGGGTGACCGCCACCGCATTCCAGTGCCTTCTACACCAGGAGAGGGGCAGAGGTGGGGCGGGGCATCGGAACGCAGCAGCAGCCCCCGCGTGGGCTCCTGCCTGGACGCTGTCCCACTGCTCTCTGCTCTCCTTGTCCCCAGCTCCCGTTGGCCCCCAGCTCCTCTCCTCAGAATCTCCCAGCAGCCCCAGGTGGGGTCAGAAATAGATGACAATGACATGCAAGGACTTGGCAGGGACTTCATGCCCAGAGGGGGATTTCAGGGAGGCCTCTGGGTCCCAGTCCTGGAGCGGAGGGGCCCCCAGGTAAAAGCATCCTGTCCAAGGGTGCCACCTGCTGGTGAGAGTGGCACAAATGTGGTTTTGGGACAGGAGTGAGGGGAGGGGACCAGAGTATCAAGATGGGCAGGGCCAATCATAATGACCGTAATAACAGCCGACATTTATGCAGTGCTTGCTGTGTGCTTCACACACCGCATCCCACGTAACATAGCAATGCACGGGGCACCGCTCCCATTTTACAGACGGAGAAACTGAGGGTTGGAGAGGATTTGTGACTTGCTCAAGGTCACGCAAGAATTTGAAGCCTGGTCCATCTGAGCCCCAGCCCTGGCTCACCTTGCTGTCCTCAGGCTCCGAGAAAGTGTCGGTTTCCTCCTCCGTGGGCATCTCCAGGTCGGACTCCTCGGAGGCGATAGGCACCTGTATGGTCAGGTAGGGGTTGTTGATGAAGTTCAGGTGGTCCAGCTCGATGCTGGGGGGAGGGCCGTCCGCCAGGCCCACGTGGTTCAGGATGTGATTGTCCTTCTTCAGGTCCTCCTCGGGCGGCGGCTCCTTCTTCTCGTCCTCGGGGGCGCTCTCCCCGGCCTCCCCGGCCTCCTCGGCGCCCCCGGGCCTCCCGAGGCTGAGCATTATGTCGCTGGGACTCAGGAGCTTGCCGTGCAGCAAGCCCAGCAGGAAGGCCTTGGCGAAGCCGATGCCCCACTTGATGCGCCCGATGGCGATCTGCAGGTTGTTCATCTCGCCGTCCTCGTCGGAGGCCGCCAGGCTGTCGGCGCTGAAGGAGCTCAGCAGCAGAGCCAGGAACAGGTTCAGGACCTGGGGGCAGGGGCCGGGGTCTCGCTTCAGCCTCCGGGACCCTGGCGGTGCCACCTCCAGCCGGCATGAGGGTCCCTGGGGCTACAGATCGGAACTACCACGTGGTGGGTATTGCAAGGAACGTCGCCTAACGGAAGGCTCACAACTGCTTGTGGAGGTGAGGACTGTTATTATCACCCACTCTGCAGATGTGGAAACTGAGGCTTGGGCACATGAGAGGACTCTGCTGCCCAAGGCAAAGGCAGGGCTTGGGGAGGCCCACTGGGGGACGGGGGCTCTTTCCGTGGCTCTGTCCTTTACCTCCACCTCCGGAGGGTGCAGAGCAAAGACCAGGGCTCAAGGCTCAGGCCTCTGGGACTCACTGGGAACATTATCTTTTGAGCCTTCTTTTCCCGATCTGTTAAGTGGGACTTTTAACAGACCCTGTGCTCCCCACTGCTCAGATGCCTGTCCCCTCCTGCCCTGGAAGGGGCACTTGAACTTCTGCTATTCACCCCATTTCTCCCCTTGAGGGTTCCCTTCCCCACCTACTCCTGGTTCTCTTCCCACATCTCTACTGAAAGGGACCTAAGAGGCCACCACTCTTCCCCCAGGCCACCCCCCTTATTCTCCAACAGACAGGCCTTTACTGGCCCTGTCACTGTGTGAGTGGCCTCAGGGGCTCCCAGCCCAGGAGAGTCAGACAGTCGATCAGACACGTACAGTCCTGTGGGTGCGGGTGGCAGCAGAGACTGGGGTGCACAGGTTCTGAAACCGTGCTGCCTGGCTGAACCCCGGTTTACCAGCTGTGTGTCCTGAGGCAATGTGCTCCATTGCTCTGTGCCTCAGTTTCCTCATATGTAAAATAGGGATGATTCTAGCACTTGTCACATGGTTGTGAGGATTAACCGATCCACAAAGGAGGCACTCCACACACGTCGGCTGCTGCTGTTCCTGCACGCAGGAACTGAAAGCTGTACAAGATGTAGGCAAGAGTGTGATTAACTGCAAGGCCAGCTCAGCATTTTATAGATGAGGAAACTGTGTCCCAGAGTGGTGGAGTGACTTGCCCTAGGACACACAGCATGGTCTGGACTAGAACCCAGGCTTCTAGTCACTGCACAACCTGTGAGGGCATCATTCACTTAGACTACAATGTGAGTGGCAGCCCTGGAGGTTCACAGTGGTCGGCTTCCCTTCCATTAGTCCACCTGTCCCTGGGCAGTGGGAGGAAGGTGGAGGGTGAAGCCTGGCCGTGGTGGGGGTGGGCCCTGGCTCCTGTCACCCAGAGGCATAGCCAGGTTCTTACTGTGGGGGCCTGGGCAGGGCTAGGGGTGTGAGTGGACATGCAGGGGTAGGGCAGCCTGCACCTGCAGACCTGCCGCCTTCGGCCGTCTCCTCCATGTGTCTCCTGCTGGCTGTCACCAGCGTCCTCCAAGTTCTTCTAGTCACCATCTTCGCTATGCTATGTTAATTATGTGACATAATATCTTTTAAAAATATATTAAAACCCTCTTTGAGAGAATGTGCTGGTGTGAGGGGGCTTTCCACTCCCCGCCCCAGCATGTCCCCTAGCGACTTCTCTGCCTTTGCCCTCCACCAAAATGTACTGGTCTTCCCCTCTCTTGGGAGGAGGCGTCCAGTTGCCAGAAACACATCTGAGATGGGAATTAGCTGCTCTCTGGATCAGCAGGGTTTGCACACGGCTCCTGCCTAAGACAGAAATAGCTGCCTCGGGCCAGGGGGAGGGTGGGAGAGGGGAGGGGGCCAACATGACGCTCCCTGGGGGCTCTGTGTAGTGGGTTACTTATGCCCTAGTCACTTCCTCTTCTTCTTCACAGTAACCCAGAGGAAGTGACCTAGTGCCATGGGCATAGGGGACACGGGTCCCCACACTCCCTGGCAGGGTGCCCTGATGCCCTCTGGCAGACACCTGCTTCTCTGGGTGGGAGGGAGGGACATGCCCAAGGCCTGGGTGAGGGGAAGGGACAATGCCCAAGGAGCTGACGGTGCTGCCTCCCTGGGCCAGCCCACTCCCTCTGAGCAAACTGGGAGAGCCACAGAGCGGGGCTGGAAACGGGTGTCAGTGTGCGGGGTGCGAGCAATGGGGGGTGACACCCACACAGAGGCAGTGCCGAGCAGCAGTTCCAGTCTCTGGGGCCAGATTGCTGGGGCTCAAATCCTGCAAACATTACCAATTCCCCTCCCCGAGCCTCTACTTCCTCATCTATAAAACAGATCAAACAGCACACGTGAACGAACAAGTGCAAAGTGCTCAGAATGCCAGGTAGATGCTAAATAAATGCCAGCTGTCACCATCATTGCTGTGTTGACGTCATTATTCCATCACTATTCCGATACTGCTATTATGGATGTCATCGTTATTGGAGTTGTGCAGACCCGGGTTCTAGTCCTGGCTTAGTTCTCACTAGCTGTGTGGTTCCTGGCAGGGCCTCCTGAGAGTATGGAGATGACATTACCTGCCTCACAGGGTGGTTAAGAGGATTAGGGACAATGCTGGTAAAGCCCTTTGCACAGGGGCTGGCACATGGCAGGAGCCCAACACCAATACAGCAGTGTCACGCTGATGGCTGGGACCTCAACCGCCACGGCCCCTCCCGCGTGGTTGGAACATCTGAACTTCCCTGGCCGTGTGAACCAAGCGCTTTGCTGAGCGCTGGACATGTGTCGCACAATCCTTACGACCACCCAGTGAAGCACGTCCTCACCATCACCATCCCCATTTTCCAGATGAGAAAACCAAGGCCCAAAGAGGTTAAATAACTTGCTCAAGGTTTCCCAGTCAGTAAGTGGCAAGGTGGGTGGTGAAACATTTTTGAGTTTCTACACACAGAGACAGAGACCCCCTGCAGACTCGGTCACCTCCAGGCCCTTAAATGTACGTCCACACACTACTGCTGAGGGCCTGCTACCCTCCACCCCAATCCTGCCCAAGGCTGGGCCCAGGCACCATCTTCCCTCTCTCCTCCCGCTCCCTAAGACCTTCCTCTCAGGGACAGCAGGCCTGGGTTCTCCTCTCTAGCTGTCCCCTGGTGTCCTCCTCCAGCCAAGGTGACACCCCCTCCCCCAGCCGCCCCTGCCCCCAGCAGGAGCTCAGCGATATCTGAGAAGCGCTGAGCTGGCAGCTCAAGGATTTCACAGGCCTTTTCGGAACGTGGGGACGGGCGTCTTCCCACCCCCTGTTGCCCGGGGCAGCGCCGGCCACCACAGGGGACAGCTGGCACAGCATGAAGGGGAGGAATCGGGGTCAGCAGGGTGAGGAGAGACACTTCTACAGGCCCTTGCCGCAGAAATGCTGGTGGGCTGGCCACGGCCCGTGCCCCTGGCCCTCCACTGTGCCCAGCCCTGCACGCCAAGCCCTGAGCCACAGCAAGTGGCAGGATGCCGGCATTCCCCCAGCGCGGTCCCTGAGTCTCTGTTTCAGAGCCTGGACCCACAGCCCAGAGCAGAGGAGGTTACGGGGGTGGGGAAGGCCAGGAGGCACAGGGGTTCTGGTCCCACTCCTGCAGTGCCTTTCTGCACATCATGGTGCTCAATCTCCCCAGCAACCCCATGGGGTACTTAATATTTTTCTTCTGCGTGACAGAGAACTCAGCCCAGTCAGGGAGCAGTAATTAGTTCAAGGTCACCCAGACCACGGCAAAGGAACTGGGATTGGAACAGGGGTCTGTTTGACTTGTTACCATGTTAATTTCCTCAAAAGCCAGGTTTCCGCAGTGCTGCTCACACCCTGGTCCCTGGGCCAGCACCAGCCCCCTCAAGCTTGTCACCAATGCAGATTCCGAGGCCCCAGCCCACCGCTGCTGAATCAGATTCTCTGGGGGTGGGGCCAGGAATGTGTGGTTTAAGAAACTCCCGGGTGATTCTTCAACAAGTTAAAATTTGAGAACCACTTTGTTAAACCACATGCAATTGCCATCTTGGGGAGGAGAGGCAGAGGAGATAGAAAATAGCAAAATATCAGCGATTTCATGCAGTTCAGCCTAAGAGGGGAATGGCCCTCGGACGGCAGCCCAAAGCCAAGGAAGTAAAGGAACCGCGTGCGTCTTGCACCCTTCCTGGGCGAGGGCGGGGAACCGCGCGGCCGGCCTCACTCACCACCAGGTTGCCGATGACCATGACCATGAGGAAGACGGTGAGGCACATGGGCTGGCCGGCCACCTCCATGCAGTCCCACATGGTCTCGATCCACTCCCCACACAGGATGCGGAAGACGATGAGGAAAGAGTGGAAGAAGTCGTGCATGTGCCAGCGGGGCAGGCTGCAGTCCGAGGCGATCTTGCACACGCACTCCTTGTAGCTCTTGCCGAATAGCTGCATGCCCACCACGGCGAAGATGAACACGATGATGGCCAGCACCAGCGTCAGGTTGCCTAGCGCCCCCACCGAGTTGCCGATGATCTTGATGAGCATGTTCAGCGTCGGCCACGACTTGGCCAGCTTGAAGACCCGCAGCTGTGGGGGTGGGGTCGGGGAGGGCAGGGGCGAATGAGGCCTGGAGACCACTGGCCCAACCCAAGGCAGCCCCAGCCATAGGAGAAAGAACAGTTTGCAGTAGCTCAAACCCACCTGCCTTGAGTGATCTGAGGCCTCAGTTTGCCTCCCTGTTAAATGGACATAGTCATAACCTCCCACCACCTTGTGCTCTTCATGTATTAAAAAGAAAAAAGTCCTTATCTGTTAAATATACAGACTAAAGTATTTACAGGTGAAATTGTATGTTGGGATTTGCTTTAACACACTGGTACCCCAATAAAAATTGGAGGAACAGGTGAAACAAGAATTGTAGAACACTGATAGCTGTTGGCGCTGGGTGATGGGTACATGGAAATTCATTGTCCTTTCTCTGTACCTTTGTGCATGTGCAAAAGGTCACATGATAAACATTAAAAAATAATAAAAGTGCTCCTTATGGGCTGGTGGAAAGACAACTAATTCTGAAATTCCAATCTCATGCCTAATGATCTTCCAAGGCCTCAGTTTCCAGGTCTGCACTAGGGGCATGGAGTCCCTGTCCCACTGTTGCCCAAGTTCTTTAATTAAGGAATCAGACCCAGTGTCGGGTCCTGGGCCTGTCAGTGTGGTCTCCCGGCAGCCCTGGAAGAAGGAGGGAGGGCTCCCTTTCTACCTCTTTTACAGCTGAGAAAGGTTCTGCGAGGTCAAGTGGTTCTGAGAGGTCAAAAGTTCTGAGAGGTTAAGTGGTCAAGCTAAGAAAGGTTCTGAGAGGTCAAGTGGTTCTGAGAGGTCAGACGTTCTGAGAGGTCAAGTGGTTCTGAGAGGTCAAAGGTTCTGAGAGGTCAAGTGGTCAAGCTAAGAAAGGTTCTGAGAGGTCAAGTGGCATGCAGAGGACAGAGGGGTCTCATTTACAGACCTCTGGCTTCCGGGGTTCCTCCTCCTCCCACCTCCTTACTCAGCCCACCCGCCTCTCAGCCCCGGCCGGGCGGCTCAAGTACCAGACGGAAGGAGCGGAGCACGGACAGCCCCTGCACGTTGGACAGGCCCAGCTCCACCAGGCTGAGGGTGACGATGATGCTGTCGAAGACGTTCCAGCCCTGCTGGAAATACTCGTAGGGGTCCATGGCGATCAGCTTCAACACCATCTCTGCCGTGAAGATGCCCGTGAAGACCTGCAGGGTGGGGTGGGGTCCCTGTCACAGAGCCTCAGGGAGGCCAGGGTCGTGGGAGTCCCCCACCCCACTCCCACCTCCTGGCAGAGGCTGTGGGGGCCAACGGGAAGGGGACCAGAGCCCTGAGAGGGGCAGGCAGTGGGCCCCGTGGCCTGCGTGTGTGTATGTGAGGGAGGGACGGGAGGCAGAGCTGGGTGTGACCCAGAGACCTGTCCCATCCACTCCTGGCCTTATGACTGTGAGCAAGTCACTTAACTTCTTGGGGCCCCAACCTAACCATAATATTCAACATTTAGAGCACTCTGTGGGTCACATCGTGATTTCTTTGGTGTCCCCGTCTCTATGACGTTGGGAGGGACTATCACGCTGGGTGCACAGGTGAGAAACTGAGGCTCAGTGAGGTTAGCAGCTGGCTCTCAGTCATGTCACCTACAAGGGAATGAGTCTCATCTCAAGCCCAGGTCTCAAGGGCTCAGTTCAGCCTCCAGCCTCTCTGCCCCACAGCGTCTCCACAGCCCTGGGACCCAGCAGATCTTGGTGGACTCCAATGTCTGGGGTAGGTGCCCTAAAGGCCAAAACTAATGAAAAGCCGAGAGCTGCCTCCCACCAACCTCAGACACAGGGGTCTGAGGGTTGCACGGTCCCTGAAAGCTCCCTGGGTCCCCCTCCTCCTGCCGGGCACCAGCTGCCTGGGTCCACGGCCTGCCCGGGCACATGCTGAGCCCCTCCCAGAAGCTGTCCCTGGCCATAGCAGGTGCCCAGACAGCAGCACAGAGCGGGCAGAGGGTGGGCAGGCAGGCCCGGCCTATCACGCACACTCAGCAGCTGTGCCACAAGTCCAGAGCACGCCCTTGCCCCTCCGGCCTGGCCTATCCTGGCCACGGCTGCCTCGGGCACCTCTATGGGATAGACGCCCCTGCTGGAAGGCTGGGGAGTCTGGGGTCTGATTCTTGTGCCATCCACCCAGGCTTGGTCCTGCCCCAAGGCCCACATCTTACTCTCCCTGGGCTCCCCTCGCCCTCAGGGTTGGGGGAGCATCTGCCCATTTGCCATCCAGGAAAAACTGCAAGGGGAATTGGGAAGGGCAGGGCGGGGCTGGAGGTGGAGGCGGCTTTTTCCCTTTGTCAGGCTCCACTGGGGCTGGCAACGAGGTGATAATGCTCCTAATGGGCCGGGATAAGCGGGAGGATCAGCGTGTGTCAACAATAGCAAGCAGGAAAGAGCAGGAAGGGAGCCTGCTTGGTCACCAGCAAGCTGGAGAAATGGGCAAGGAGTGGGGACTATTCCCTGGGGCCTCCTGGGTCTGGGCACACGGGGCGATATGCCCCACTGCCAGGTCCCTTGGCTCCTTTCAGGCCCATGACAACCTCAAGAAGTGGGGAGACTTGTCAGCCAGCCCCCCACCCACATCTCCACACTCCCACTCCCCACCCCACCCCCAGGGCATGGTCTAGACCGCGATGCCCAGGAGCCCTGATCCTAAGAAGCCCAGCACCTCACTCCACTCTCCCTGCCCCCAAATACCCTGAAGCCAAAATTCTACATGCCTCAGATCAGCAGTCCCCAGCCTTTTTGTCACCAGGAACCAGTTTTATGGAAGACAATTTTTCCACAGATGGCAGGGGGGAATGGTTTTGGGATGATTCAAGCACATTACATTTATTGTGTGGTCAAAGCTCACTGGTAATGATAATCTGTATTTGCAGCTGCTCCCCAGCGCTAGCATCACCGCCTCAGCTCCGCCTCAGCTCATCAGGCATCAGACTCTCATAAGGAGTGCGCAACCTAGACCCCCCCCCACGCGCAGTTTACAGTGGGGTTCTCACTCCTATGAGAATCTAACGCTGCCACTGACCTGGCAGGAGGCGGAGCTCAAGCAGTGATGTGAGCGATGGGGAGTGGCTATAAACACAGACGAAGCTTTGCTGCTCACCTCCTGCTGGGTGGCCTGGTTCCTAACAGGCCACAGGTTGGTGCCAGTGCTGGGCCCAGGGGTTGGGAACCACAGCCCTAGATCACCCCACGCACCTCCCCGCACATCAACTCACACCCCCATATGCCGGGAAAATAACCCCAGCTGTCCACGTATGGCCCCCAGTAGTGCCCCACATTTCCACACAGCCCCACTGCCCTGCCGCCCCTCTCCCATCCTCTTCCCCAATGGCCACCCTGTCCCCTTGTCCCCTGCCTACCAAGTTGCCCACGGTGAGCACGTTGTCAAACTGCTCCGTCATGGGGTAATGTTCCATGGCCATGAAGAGAGTGTTGAGCACGATGCAGATGGTGATGCCCAGGTCCACGAAGGGGTCCATGACGATCAGGTGGATGATGTTCTTGAACTTCACCCACGGCACGCAACAGTTCCATATGAGCAGTTTGTGGGCGCACTTGTACCACCATGGCGGGCACTTCTGGTGGGCCTCTTCCAGCTCTGGGAGTGGGGTTGTGACAGGTGCCTGATGAAGATTCTCTCCTCACGGTCCTCTGCTCCGCCCAGATCCTTGGTCCTACCTTCCACGCCCCGCCCCCTAGCACTCCACATCTCAACACCTGCAACCCCCAGCCAGGCCCGTTCCAAGCTCCTCTGCCTCTCAGCCCATCACCTCAAGGCCCACTCCTAAACCCCGCCACACACCCCACCCCTTGAAGCCACGCCTCCTCAAAGCCCTACCCCAAAGCCCCGCCCCTTGACCTCCTCAGAGAACCTTTCCCCAAGCCCCGCTTACTTGGCAACCCCACCCCACCCCAAAGCCTTGCCACTCAGTGAGCTGGGCTGGATTCCCACCCTCTACCAGCCCCCAGGGCAGCGAGCCTGGCAGGTGAGATGCCCTGATCTCTGGCTGGGTCCCAGACTCCCCAGGAAGAGGTCGAAGGCCGCTGCAGGGGCTTGGGTCCCAGGGCCACATGCTGCTGGCCAGTGCCACTGGGGTGCAGTCTGAGATCCCCTTGAGGACTCTCCCACTCCACTGCCAGAATGCCAGCCCCTCCAAACTGTCCCCAGTCCGTCCATCCTCTGCCACCAGAATGGCCTTCTGGAAACACCTGCTGTTCTTGCCACCCGAAAGCCATGGGGGTCTGCAAGGACTGTGGGATGAAGCTGCTTCTCCACCTGGCCTCCGTGGCCTACAGGAGAGCCCTTGGCCCAGAGTGACATCATTTACTCATCACGCAAGGTTATGAGGCAGATACTGTTAGCACCTCCTGTTTCAAAGGTGGAGAAAATGGACCGGGGCAGGTGGCAGCCCCATGGGGACCCTGGGTTTGCCCCAGGGCTGGGGCACCTGACCCCAAGCCCCATCAGCAGTCAGCACACTGAACCTCTCTCAAAGGCTGTGGCAGGTGGCCCAAGCAGTGTCTGAGGCCCAAAACTTCTTGCCATGGTCCCAGCAATGGCCAACTTTGGAGGCCTGCTTGGCCACCCTGCCCAGCACTCCCTGGGACACTCTCTGGTCAGACACCTGGATGTTGGCCATAGAGTCAGGCGACATGATGCCCCATAGAGGGCTGCACAGTCCTGTAGGACCCCAGCTTCCAGGCACAAGGCAAGCGGCCTGGGGAGGGAGCCAGGTCTCTTCTCTGGGTCAGAGTTCCTTCCCTCAACCCCCCCTCCCTCCCTAGTCTGTCTTTCCTGCGCTTCTCTGTCCCTCCCTTCTTGTCCTCCCTCCCTCCCTCCCTCCCATCCATCTTTGCATCCATCTGTCTCCATGCATAAGCTCTCAGCCTGCCATCCATCCACCCCATTCTCACTACAGCATCCTTATTCTTCTCCTGAAACCTGAGGGATGGACTGGGGACTGGGTGGAGTCTGTGACTCTACCTGGGCAGAGTTTGACCCGTGACCTTTGACCTTTACCCAGAGAAACACTTGAGGAGCAGGATGTCCAGTTTCCGGAACACCGGGCCTTCGGGCTGGTATTGTTAGCTGGTCCCTCCCCACCGCCTTGGCAGCCCCTGAGGTCCTCCCGGAAGCACCAATGCCCACAGTGGCCCAGCCTCGAGGCTAGCAGCGGGCCAGGTTAAGGCAGAACTATATTTATCACAGCCATTGCTTCTATGCCAATATTAAGTTACCGTCCTCCTGAAGCTGGGTGCAGCCAGGTCTCGCCCTGCCCGCAGGGGCCGGTGTGGGGACAGGGGCACAGGGCACTTACCTTCCATGGCGTCCGAGATGGCGCTGTCTGCACTGCCGCTTGGCCTCGGGGCTCCCTTCTCCCCAGGTGATGTGTCCACGCTGCCATTGCAGCCACGGGCTGGGTCCCCATCTGCCTCCCCGCCTTCCAGAGCCTGGGCGGCCTTGGCCTGTAGACCAGCGGGGGGGTGGGGGGTGGGCACGAGGTCCGCTCTGAGCCAGCGCATGGGCTACTGACTTTCTGAGGCCTGCAGGGTGGCACCCCCTCTCCTTGGCCTGTGTCAGACCTAGTGCAGGTGGGGAAGGGGCTAACCTTGGTGGTGGTGTGGGGTGACAGGATAGGGACCAAAGTGACTGAGGACCCTCAGCCCTGAAGACCCTCTACTCTGACGCCCTTCATGAGAAATGAGCGGTGCCCCCAAGGCCTACGCAGGACCTGCCCCTCCCTCCGTGTGGACCCATGTGCCGCCTGGAAAGAATTGCGAAACCAGAGGCATTTGAGCTGGAAGGTGCCTCAGATTTAAATACTCCAGATTTCTTGTTATAGATGGGGAAACTGAGGCACAGAGCAGGGAAATACTCTTTCTACTGCCTGGGTGCCACAACACCAGCAATGCCCCATGCCTTCCGTCACCCTCAGCCTGCCCGAGAGATGCCGGTGGCCAAGCAGCCCAGGCTGAGGGCAGGGAGAGCCCTGGGTCCTCGGCCTCCTCTCCCGGAGTCCAGACCTTCTCCAGCTCCTCCTGGTGCTTCTTGAATTTCTCAAGCATCTGCTGAAACTCCTCCTCTTTCTCCTGATCCTCGGCCAGGGTGGCCTCGTTCTGCTCAGCGTAGGCCATGGCCACCACGGCCAGGATCAGATTGATGAGGTAGAAGGAGCCCAGGAAAATGATGACCACGAAGAAGATCATGTAGGTCTTGCCAGCTGCTCGAAGGGTCTGGGAGTTGGGGGGAGAAGAAGAGGGACCCCATGGCACCTGCCCCCTTTCATCCACTGCCCTCTCCATGCACCCATTGCTCAGCCGGGTAAGCAGAGAGGCTCCCTCAGAGCCTGGGGACTTGCAGGGCTCTGAGGCCAGCTGTGGCCATCCTAGGCAGGATGAGCCGCATTCTGGGGAACCCCAAACTACGTACTTGGGACCCAGACATTCCTGGTCTCCTGGCTCAAAGAGCCCAGAGGAGCTCAGTCAGGGGTCCTGAGATCAGAGAGCCAGGATGGAAAACTAGTGAACATGGGTTTGGAGTCATCTTGAATCCTAGCTTTTCCATGGCGCTTGGCACCAAGTAAGAGCTGAACAAACAGTAGCTGTGATTATCGTTGTTATTGTTATTGTTATTAACATCATCAGTGTTAGAAACGTGACCAGGGATCAGAAGGCACTATTGCTCCAGACTCCTGCCCCGCAAACAGTAGGAGTTAAATGATTGTGTATGGGCAGAACTGAATCTCTAAGCTGCCCTACTGGTTACTGTGAGGCCCAGGGTTCCTGGGTCCAAGCCTACACCAGGCCCAGACCTCAGCTCTCAAAGCAAAGGCGGGGAAGAAGTGCAGCCATGGCTGGGCTCTGGGCAGGTGCCGGTGTCTGCAGGGACACTGAGAGGGTCTCATGGAGGAGATGGCCCAGCAGGGGCCTTGCTTGGCCAACCTGGGGGAGGCCCCATCAGGCCCTGAAGAGGCTGTGGGGATGGAGGGGAGTGGCTGTAGGGCCGAGGGGCAGGGTGGGGGCAGCTGTACCAGCTGGAAGAGGTTTTCCCAATAGTCCTGTGTCATGAGGCGGAAGAGAGCCAGGAAGGCCCAACTGAAGGTGTCATAGCTGGTGTAGCCGTAGTTGGGATTCCGCCCGGCCTTGATGCACACATAACCCTCAGGGCAGTGCCTAGGATAGGATGGGGGACTGGCTTTAGGGGGTGGGGAGAGCTCCAGCTGGGGACAGATGGGGGTCCCCAAGGGAAAAACATCCCTCAGTCCTGCCTGTGTCGCCCAAACAGGAAATGATTCCACCCGTGCCCATAGGTGTTCCTCACACTCCCATCCACCCCAGGCCTTGTCCCTAGTCAGTCCCCATCCTCCGAGACCCCTGGGCACCTCCATCCCACCCGCTCACATCACTCACCCCGCATCACTGCTGTTCCCACAGAGCAGGGCATCGTTGGAGCCCTCCAGGAAATAGAAGTTCCCTTTGGGAGTCAGAGGCCACAAAGGAGGCAAGTCACCCACACGACACACTGTGAGCACCTGCGCCCACTGCACACCTGGGAATGCGTCTGTGTGCTCCACACACACCAGATGGATGTTCTCTGGGTGTCCCTTCCCCCTCCCTGTGGACAGCCCCAAGTCCCAAGGTCTCTGGGTGGGGACACCGCGGGGAGCCAAGCTGTAAGCTGTGCCAGCGCAGTGCCTAGTGTGGGCATAAAGTGAGGACACAGCAGGGACACGGACAGAGCCAGAGGGACATGCGTGTGCGTGCATGGGGCTACCATGTCCTTGCACAGGACCCTGGCCGAGGGGTGAGCAGGGGCTAGAATCCAGGTGCCAGGGTGAAGAAGGGGGTCCTTTTCCCAATTTGCAAGAAGGCACTGTGTAGACTGATAGTGGCAGTGTGACAATGTGTGTGTGTGTGAGTGCCTGCGAAGGATGGGCGTGTGAACACACGTGGCCCTGCCAGGCCGTGAGCCCACAGCGTGACGGAGGAGGACAGGGTTGCACAGGGTAGGGAACAGGGACGATAGACTGTTGCTTTGTTTCGTGAGAGTTTAAGGATCTCTAAAGCAACCTGGCATTCCTTGTCACACTAACCCGTGGCGGAAGGTATTATTTCAGCTTTATAGGTGGGGATTCTGAGGGCCCGGGAGATCAAGCGACTTGTCAGAGGTTACACAGCTGGTAAGTGCTGGATTCCAGCTCAGGTCCTGGCCAGGCGACGTGTGTCATAAAGAGCTGAGGCAGGGGCTGCTCTAGGGGCTGGGGCAGGCCCCTCCCCGGCCCACCCGTCATTCTGACCTTCGTCGCTGATGTAGGCGTCCCAGTCGAAGGTGTAGTTGCTGGCCCAGCTGTCGTTGCCGTACCACGTGTCACTGCCGTACCACGTGTCGTTGCCGTACCACGTGTCGTTGCCATACCACGTGTCGTTGCCGTACCACGTGTCGTTGCCGTACCACGTGTCGTTGCCGTACCACGTGGTGTTGGTGTCGTTGAAGGGCGGTGGCCAGCGCACACACTTCTGCCGCAGGTTCCCCATGAAGAGCTGCAGCCCCACCAGGGCAAAGACGCTCAGGCAGAAGACCGTGAGGATCATCACATCCGACAGCTTTTTCACCGACTGGATCAGGGCCCCCACGATGGTCTTCAGCCCTGGTCACAGACAGCGTGCGAGTGTGGGCAGGGGCAGGCGGGCTGCCAACGGACGCCCCGACCCCACCACCAGGCCTTCGCCTCCTCATCTGCAAGGCTCGGCTTACTAGGCAGCTACTTGCCTGAACCCTTCTGAAATTACCCGCCCCCTTCTCTGATCACATCCGCAATCTGGAGCCTCCCAGCTGCCACAAAACCTCAGCCACCAGCACAACAGACTACAAAGACTGGACGGGCTGTTGCCTGGCCTGCAGAGCAACACAAAGGCATACAGTGGAGCTTAATAAATGTCGCTAGGTGAGCACTCCCAAAGTGTGTTCTGCAGAACACGAATCCAAGCTGTGCCCTTAGAAAAGGGGAGTCAGTAAGTCCGGGAAAAGCTGTGCTCTATATTCTGCTCTTGGAAAGTCATTCTGTGGATTATCCTATCAAAGGCTCTGAAAAGTCCTGCAGAAATTAAAAAAAAACTTTAATACTACATTTCCTTACCATATTTGACCACAGAACCGTTTTCCTTATAATGCCTAGCAACACCCAAGGAACAGCAAGGTTCGCTCTGGGAAGCTCTAGACTGACCTTGACCCGTCCTTACATTCCTTGGACAGACAGAGGCATCAACAATACTGGCAGAATTCCGGGGCTGGATTCTGTCAGAAGAGCTATTATAACACTTCCTCCTGAGACTAATCGTAGCACCTCTCACTTCTATACGAGTTCGCTTCCTCTTCTTATCCTGACACAGGAGACAAACGCCCAGCACCCTCCTTGTGACAACCCTCCTGGGATGCGGCAGCCTGGCACAGGGGAAGGGCGACTGGCCTTGACTTGTGGACTTTGGTGAGCACATCCCCCTCTGGCCTCCCCTGCCCCGGCTGCGGTCAGGGGCCTTTGGACTAGGAGAGAGCTCAGGTGCTTTCTCGAATTCAGGTTGAACAATTTCCCCTCGTCCAGAGCCCGAGCCGCGTGGCTTTCACGTCACCTCTCTCTCCTTTCGCGAGCCATCTCCAGTGTCTCCACGTGCTTTTCCGAGGATCCGAACGATCCAGATTCTATTGATTCCCTGCTTCCCGGTGCATTACCGTGGGGCTGCCCTGGCCCTGCGGCCCGGCGGGCGTGCGGGGCGCTCCTCATTGAGCTCTCAGGGCTGGCACTGCCCTCGCTGAGTCCCTTTGTGTCCCTCCCTGTGCTGCCCGGTCTGCTTACTTCATACGCCACACACCACGGGCCTCGGACTGTGAGCGCCTTAAAATTTAATCCTTAAAATGACCCAACAAGTGCTACTATTATTATCCACATTTCACCGATAAGGAGACTGAGGCACAGACAGGGTTAGCCACTCGCCCAAGGTCAAAGTTAGGAAGTGGTGGAGGTGAGAACTGAACCCAGGCAGTCTGGCTGCAGAGCCTGTGCCCTCAGCCCCCTGTGCTCTGCTGCCTCCCAGATGCCCCTGCTGCCCTCTGGCCACGCAGGCCCCCTTGTCCAGGCTCCGCCGAGGGTCCCACACAAACACCAGCCCTGGAGTGCTGTGACCCTGGCTCGGGCTCCCGCAACGGGAGTGTCAGGTTGCAGGCCTGGGCCTGGCGGGAGGCCTGTTGGCTCAGGCGGAGGGTCCCTGCACCTCCCCGTACCTGGGATGACTGTGATGGTTTTCAGGGCCCGCAGCACCCGGAAGGTCCTCAGGGCTGAGATGTTGCCCAAGTCCACAAACTCCGTCAGGTACCTGGGTGGGGGGTTGGGGCAGAAGTCAGGGCCTCTCCAGGCCTGGGATGAGGATTCCCAAGGAATTGGGGAACCATGGAGGGGTGGGGGGCAGGCCAGACACCCCTGAGGTTCCTACTGGGGCCCCAGAGTTGAGAAGGACAGTGCAGGAGGTTTGCTGCTGGGGAGTGGGGGTGGCAAGGATAGCCCAGCTCGCCCGTAGGTCGGGGCCCTCACATGGTCATCGTGGTATGTGGAGGGGACATCGGGACAGCTTCTTACTGTGTGGTTATCAGGGGATAAGGAATAAAAAAAAAGGACAGCTTCCAAACTGGACCCTGGGAGTGGCGCTCCTAGAATCACACAGCTTGCTATCTGCAACACTGGCCAGAGGCCCCTGCAGTCCGCCCCTCTGCAGGGGCCAGCCTGTCTGCTGCCCTCTTTGAGGCTTGCCGCCCCGCCCAGCCTCAGGATGTGGGCCCTGCTCACGCCATCATGATGACGCTGAAGTCCAGCCAGTTCCAGGGGTCCCGGAGGAATGTGAAGTCATCGATGCAGAAGCCTCGGGCCAGCATCTTGATGAGGGACTCAAAGGTGTAGATCCCTGTGAAGGTGTACCTGGCGGGGAGAGGGCCGGCCAGGGCCGGCATGTCACCCGGGAAGGGGTGTGTGTGGCAATGACAGACTTCCCAGGAGGGAGGGCCACAGAACTGAAATATGCTACCCGGGGGGCTGAGGGCACTGGTGACAGTGATAGTGTGTGCTGCCCTGGGGGCTTAAAGGGTCACTGAGGGCTACAGTGCCAGTGTGCCCCTCCCTGGAAGACAAGAGCAGTGTCACTCTGAGCATCTTCAGAGGTGCAGACTCCTGAGATGGGCTGTGTCCCAGGGCTGGGGGCTTGGGCGGCTGGGGACTTACTCCACGTCCTTGGACCAGGGAGGCGGGTCGCTCATGGTCATGAACACACAGTTGGTCAAGATGGTGATCATGATGAACATGCTGAACAGCGTGGGCGGCGTCAAGGAAAGCGAGGGAGCAGGTGGGAAGAGGAGGTGGGCGGAGGTCCCCCTGGCCCAGAGCACCCCGTCCCGGCCGCCCCTCAGCCCCGCGTCTCCCCACTCGGGCAGGATATGAGTGGATGAGCACCTTGATGGCACCGCGCCTGACAACGCTGAAGGGGCTCAGCAGGTAGAGGGCAGGCGTGGCCGAGAAGCGGAAGATGGCCTTGCCCTTGTTGAGCACGATGAAGGTCTGAGGCGGGAAGAGAGCTGTGAGGCCTGGGGACGGATAGACAGACGGACGACAGACAGAGGGAGCCCTCCCAGGCCCGGACCTTCTTGTCGCTGTAGTAGGGGTCCAGGTCCTCCAGGGGGATGCCGATGACCTCCGGCGGGGGGTCCCCGTAGATGAGGGGCAGGTTCTTGCCGGCCTCCAGGTCGCTGCGCGGCTTCCGTTCGGGCTCCTCAATCTCCATCTGCTTGTTCCGCTCCTGCCGCGCCACCTCCTCCAATGCCCGCTGTTCTATGGCCGCCAGGGACTCCCGGGTGAAGGGGCGCAGGCATTCGGGGCCCAGAGGCACCACGGTTGCCAGAGACGGTCTGGCCATCCTCGCATCCTGGGCTCAGGGGCCAGGAAGGCGGCGGGCAGCCAGGGCAGCTGCAGTGTGCAGCTCCCGGGGCACTGGGCGGCCACCCTGCCCTGGGCCTGCTGACCACGCCTCACCTTCGGCCTGCCTGGGGGCTGGGCGGGGAGGTGGGCAGGCAGGCCCTGCCGGGGCTGGGGGACGCACTTGCAGGGCCCAGGTGCTGCTGCTGCACAGGTGCTGGGCCCAGAGCATCACCCCGGACCCGACACCACTCTGACCCCCGCAGGGGTGGGCCGCCCTCAGGACTGACAGCAAACCAACCAGATCCTCTTCGGCCTTTGGACTTGGGGCCAATGCTCCAGTGCCTTCAACTGCCTCCTGGGCTCAAACTCCGGGAACTGTGTGGCTTCAGCCTATGGAGACAGAGAGAGAACCGCAGCTGGCTGTGCCCATGTGACCTCTGGATGGACGAGGACGAGGGGCCCGGTGGGGTCCGCCTAAGGCAGGACTGGCAGGTGGATTTCACCTGAGGGCCAGTAGGGACACTGATACTGGCTGCCTGGAGATACAGGTGGAGACCACTGAGGTTGCAGCGGACCCAGTGCAAAAAGATTGCTGTGATCGACTTAGTGATGTCTGCCAGGGGCGTGAGGAGGAAGACAGTGGTGCCTCTGCCTGCGTTTGCCATCCCGGCCTGGGGGAAGGGAACGGAAGACATGGGGTGCGGATTCCCCTTTCCTGGAATTTGTGGTGTTCGGCTGGGAGAGGCAAGAAGGAAGGATGCTGGCCCTGCAGAGCATCCCAGCGGCCCCCTCCCACAGCCCTGGGGGATCCAGCCCCCGGGCAGGCAGCGGGGCTGGAGCGGGAAGATGCAGGGTGTGTTGGGGGACTGTGTCAGGAGAGTTGCAGGTGCTAACGTGGAAGAGGAGGATGCACAGGGACAGTCATGGGGACAGGGCGATGGTCAATTCCGATGGTGGGGGCAGGGCTGGAGCTCCCAGGGACTGTTTTTGGCTGGTGGTCCCTGCGTGAGCCTTTGAGGCTGTGAGTACTGTGGACTATCTCCTAGGCTAGTCTCTGGCGGGGCCTCTCCATCCCCTGCCCAGCCCTCCGCAGCCTGCCCCCTGTGGAAGGGAAGTGGCAGGTCACTTATCCCAAATGGCCCTGGGGGACGGAGCAGACCGGCAGGCAGGCACAGCCACACAAAGCCACTGCAAGGCCCAAATGGACAGGCCCTGGAGCCACCCCTGCACCACAGGGACCTGGACAGAGACCCTCAGAGTCACACAGGAGGGCAGCCCCCTCCCAGCAGTGCCCCTGGCCCGGCCAGTGCTGGCCCTTCTCAGGCTTGGTCAACAGGTGGAGGGAGGCCAGGGAGAGGCGGAGCCACTGGGCAGAGCAGGCCACGCCCCCGTGCCTGGTGCCCCAGCTGCTCCTGCCAGCACCCAGGGAGTCGTGTTTCCACGGGGATGACTCTGCTCATTCCTGCGACCCTGGCCCTCAGCTGCTCATCAGCCCCATGGTGAGCATGGGTGTGCACATACACACACGCACGCCCAGCCCGGAGCCACCCCTCACGCAGACCCTCTTGGATGTGCCCACGCAGCCCTGTCATATACCTTGAAACCTTCCTCCCCACCACCCACCCCACAAACACACCACACTCTGCTTGTCATTGCACAGAAGATGACAACCTGCCAGATGGCCCCGGGGGGACCCCACGGCTGCTGCGCACCCACCCAGCCGGCAGTCCTCACCGCCACGATCCTCTGACCTTGACACTGCTCACGATTCCCGTCACAGCAGCCCAGGTGGGGCCATGAAACCCCAGAGACACATGTCTGGCTCCCAACTCAGCACTCGAGGAAACTACTCTCATTTGAGTCGCCATAGGCCCCAGTGGACAGACCCAGTGCTTTCTTCCCAGCCAGCCCTCCCAAGCACTCACGCTGCTCACGCCTTTCTCCTGGGGAGCAGGACGTGGCCTGCCCCTCCGGCCACCCTGCCTGTTCTGCCCTGCTACCTCCCCTCCCGCCCCGGGAGAACGCTTCTTCTCCAGGGCCTGGTCGGCAGCCCGTTCTCTTTGTACTATGCACGCCTCTCCTTTCTTCCTAAATTCCTCTCCTTCCCTTTCATCACCCCTGAAGTCTGGCTGTTTGTTATGTGAAGGGAAGAATGTCCTCGTAGGTTTGGCGCTTTGAAGCTGGCTTTGGTTGGTGGCTGCCCAGAGCATCGTGGCGGTAGATCCGGTCAGTTCCTGTGCCTGCTGAGGCTGCCCCCTGCCAGTGTCACTGTCCCCTCCATTCGCCCCTCACCTGTTCTATTCAAATGCCCTCCCACCTGCCTCCCTACCTCTTGCCAGGTCCCTTCCAATCCACCACCTACTGTCCATTTCTAAAAGCACAAATCTGATCTTGCCACTCCCTGCTTACCGCCTTCACTGGCTCCCTGCTGCTTAACCGTAAGCCCCAAACTCCTCCCCGGACTCCCGAGGCCGGCTCCCGAGGCCCTCCATGAGCCGATCCCTACCTTATCGCCTTCCCCTTCCCCAGGAGCTTCCACCGTCTGGCCTTGCTACCTCCATTTTCACAAACGGGCCAAGCTGTTTCCCACCTGCTTCCCCTCACCCCCACGCCTTTGCTTGTGGTCTGCTCACCTCCTGGAACACCCCTCCTCTTCGTCTGCCCGGAGAGCTCCAATTTGTCCTGCCAGACTCAACCTACACAAGGACCACCTCCCCAGGAAGCCCTCCATGGGCACCCTGAAATCCTCCTCTCATTTGTGCCATCAGCGTGCCTAGTGCTCAATAAAAGTTTATTGAACCCAGGTGTGGTGGCTCGTGCCTGCAATCCCAGCTACTCGGGAGGCTGAGGCAGGAGGATCGCTTGAGCCCAGGAGTTCAAGGCTGCAGCGAGCCACTGTACTCCAGCCTGGGCAACAAAGTGAGATCCTGCCTTTAAAAAAAAAAAGTTTATTGAATAAATAAGTGATGAGTGAATTACAGGGACACTCCACCTTTAAACACACGCTGAACCTAAATCCTAACTAGAAACCGTACCTCCACCACTTCAAGCTCCCCCTTCTCCCCAGCCACGCGGTCAGCTCGCAGCTCACGTGCCTGGTTGCTGTAATCCTTGGGTGCCTTCTGTCCTTTGGCCTGGCACTTTTTCCCTCCCCATCAGACCCCTCTGATTTCACTGCCTTCCTCATCCAGCCCTCCCACACAAACGCCCCCAGCTCCCGGGGTGAGTTCTCTCCCCACCAACCTGCGCCTCCCCACCCAGCTCTGCTTTGTCGGAGCCAGACCCCGAGCAGCTGGACGCTGCTGGAGAAATGACGTGACCAGGCTGGGCTCACGCCGCATTCGTGGTTACAAACTCTGGCTTTGCCCTCAATCCTGCCAGCCCTGGAAGTGTGGATTTTTCTGGTACGTTCACTTTTCCACTTTTTGAGAGCAACGATTTCATGCCCTCTCTTCTTTCCTCAACCCCCACCCCCGCTGCTCCCAGGACACTCCCAGATGACGACCTTGCTTCGCCCTTCACTGGGAAAGTAGGAGCCTGTCCTACACCGTCAAGTCTCCAGGACTGTCCACTGCCCCAGCCCCTTCGTCCCCACCCTGCTAGAACAGAACAGTGGCGGGAATCAAAGGCCAGGCCCTCCACAGGGCTCAGCACCCCGCCCCCTCTGGCTCCCCACGGACCCCACTCTCCAGCTGTCTTCTCTCTATCGCCACCAACCTCCTCCGTCTGTGAGCGGACTCTAGTGCCTTCCATCTTAGAACCACGGCAGTGAGGACAAGATCACCCTCCCGGCCCCACACCGCCCTTCATCCATGGCCCTATTTTCCTGTTCCTCTTCACCGAAAAACTTCTTGGAAGGCGTCTACACCAGCTGTCTCTACTTCCTTACTTTTCGTTGGCTCTTCAACCTGTTCCAACCTGGCTTCCGTTTCCCCCTCAACTGAAACGGCTTTTGTCATGTCACTAACACGCTCCCTGCTGCCAAGTCCAGGAACACGCTTCTGTCTTCACCTCCCTCGGCCTCTCCGAGGCATTTGGCCCGGCTGGCCGCAGCCCCCTTCTGGAACCCTCTGTGCGCTCAGCCTCCAGGGACGCACGCTCGGGATCTCCCTCCGACCTCCCCACCTGCCTCTTATTGCTTTCTTCTGCTTGTCCCTCTTTCTCTCCTCGGTCTCTGTTTCTCAGGGCTCAACCTGGTCTGAGTGGCGTCGTTCCTATGGCTGCAGTAATGTCACGGGAGCAGGATAAACCTCTCCTTTGAACTCCAGACCGGTTTATTCAACTGCCTCCTGGACAGCGCCACGCCCAGAGCTCACAGGCCTCCCGACTGGGACGAGACTCTGGATCCTTCATTGCTCCATCCACATTCCTTCCCCCTCAACCCGGAGACGGCACCACCCCATCAATTGCTGAAGTCAGAAATCGGGATGTACATTTTTATTTTTTTTAAGAGACAGGGTCTTGCTCTGTCACCCAGGCTGGAGTGCAGTGGCCCAATCATAGCTCACTGCAGCCTCGAACTCCTATGCTCAAGTTCTCCCACCTCAGCCCCCTCAGTAGCTGGGACTACAGGCATGTGTCACTGTACCTGGCTAATTTTTTTTTTTTTCCCATATGGATGAGGTCTAGCTATGTTTCTCAGGTTGGTCTTGAACTCCTGGCTTCAAGTAATGCTCCCACCCCAGCCTCCCTGGGTGCTGGGATTGCAGGCGTGAGCCACCACATCGGGCCTCAGGCATCTCTTTGAATTCTCCTTTCCCCTCACCCTCTACATCCAGCCTGTCCAAAGTTCCATTAATACCACCTCCAAAATACACCCATCTCCCCTGGTTCATACCAAAATAATCTCTTGCAATAGTCTGTTTCCTGCTATTTGCTTTTTTTCCTGCACCCTCCAAATCAGTCCCAGTAATCTTTTAAAAACAAAAACTAATCATATTGTTTCTCCTTTTAAAACCCTCCACAGTAACTTCCAGTTGCACTTAGAATAAAACCTGAACCTCCTATGGGGGCCTCCTGGGCCTGGTGACCTCTCCCACCTTTGTCTCTTGGTCATGCCCCCTTGTCACTTGGCTGCAGTCCCACTGGCCTCCCTCCAGCTCCTTGACCACCGGACTCGTGCCTGTCTTTGGCCTCTGCCCAGCTCCCGTGCTCCATAGGGCTCTTGTCCCCTCTCCCTTCACGTGGCTGTCCCTTCACGGTCCTCTGTGATAAGCACAAATGTCTCCTCTTCCAAGGGGCTTTCTCCCTCCTTCACAGTCTCCTGTATTTTCCTTGACATTATTTATCATAATTTGTAATTACTTGTTTATTTGCCTAATTTACTTTGTCTGCCTCCCCCACCAGACTGGAATGCCAAGAGAGCAGCAACTGTGTCTGTCCAGGTCACC